ATGTGTTTCCATGTATTACTGTCTCCTTACTTTTTTCAGAACTCTTCTGTAGTTCTCTTTGTACAAGTCTTTCACCTCCTTGGCTGAGTTAATCCCTAAGTGTTTTATTACTTTGAATCTATTGTAAATGGAATTGTTTTACAATTTCTTTTTTAGAAAGTTCATTGTGTATAGAAATGTCTGATTTTTTTATATTGTTCTATATCTTGCTATTTGCTGAATTCATATATTAGAGCTCACAGCTTCTGTGTGGAGTCTTCAGGATTTTCTAGACATAAGATCATATAATCTGCAAAAAGATCATTTTACCTCTTTCTCTCCAATCTGCTGTAATTTTATTTCTTTTTCTTGTCTAATTGGTCTGGCTAGAACTTCTGGTATGTTGAACAGAAGTGGTGAAAGTGGATATAATTGTCTTATTACTGATCTTAGAAGGGAAGCCTTCAGTTTTACACCATTATCACATCCGCTGCAGGTTTTTCATACATGGCTTGTGTTATATTAAGATAGTTTCCTTCCCTGGCTGGAGTAGCTCAGTGGATTGAGCACAGGCTGCGAACCAAAGTGTCGCAGGTTCAATTCCAGTCAGGGCACATGCCTGGGTTGCAGGCCATGACCCTCAACAACCGCACATTGATGTTTCTCTCTCTCTCTCTCTCTCTCTCCCTCCCTTCCCTCTCTAAAAATAAATAAAATCTTTAAAAAAAGTTTCCTTCTATTCCTATTTTGTTATTTTTCATAAAAGTATTGAATTTTGTCAAGTGCTTTTTCTGCATCAATTGAGATGATCATGTTTTTTTCCTGTTTGTCAACATGGCATATTACTTGATTTTTCATGTGTTGAATCTTGCATCCCAGGAATAAATCCCACTTGGTCATGGTGTGTAATGTATTTAATGCACAGTTGAATTCTGTTTGCTAGAATTTTTACATCAATGTTCATAAAGATACTGGTCTGTAGTTTTCTTAGCTTGTATTGTTTTTGGCTTTTGGAATCAGGGTTATGCTGGCTTCTTAGAAGGAGTTAAGAAGTGCTTCTTCCTCTTCAAGTTTTTGTCAAAGTTTGAGAAGGATTGGTATTCGTTGTCTTTAAACATTTGGTACAAGGTAAAGCCATCGGGTCCAGGTAATTGTCATTGTTTTGGGGAGATTTTTTGGTTACTGATTCAATCTTCTTACTTGTTACAGGTCTCTACAGACTTTCTGATTTTTCATGGTATAGTCCTGGTAGGCTTTTGTTTCAGGAAATTGTCCATTTTGTTGAAATTTTCCAATTCGCTGGTATACAATTTTGTATAATTATAGTATTTTTCACCTCTGTAAAATAGGTAGTATTGGCCCCACTTTCATTTCTGATATTAGTAATTTGAATATTTTTTCTTACTTCATCTAAAGATTTTTCAATTTTGTTGCCCTTCTTGAAGGAACGTTTAGTTTCATTGATATTCTGCAGTTTTTCTATTCTCTATTTCATTTATCTCTGCTCTCTTTTCTTACTTCTGCTAGCTTTGGACTTCATTTGTTCCTTTTCTATTCCCTCATATTGTAAAGTTACATTGTTGATTTGACATCTTTTTCATGTATTTATAGCTATAAATTTCCCACGAAGCATTGCTTTCACCATGTCTGGTAAGTTTCACTATGTTGTTGTTTTGCTTTGCTTCACCTGTTTTCTCATTTCCCTGTGGTTTATGTTATCCACTGATTACAAGTGTGTTGTTAGTCCTGGCTGCTGTGGCGAACATAGTTGGACCATCATCCCATAACCAAAAGTTTGCAGGTTTGATTCCAGGTCAGGGCACATACTTAGGTTGTGAGTTCAACCTCCCGTATACCTGGGTGCAAATGGGAGGCAACTAATCAATGCCTCTATCTTGCATTGATGTACGTCTCTCTCTCCCTTCCTTCCTAAAAGCAATGAAAAAAAAAATCCTCACCATCCATCCCCGCAGTGAACATTTAAAAAAAAAAGAGTATGTTGTTCAATTCCCAGATTTGAATTTCCATTTTATTTTTGTTGATTTCTAACTTCATCCCCTTATGTTCATAGAAGATATTGCATGATAGTTTTTAAATCTACTGGGACTTGATTTGAGGCCCGATGGTCTTTCCTGTGGAATGCCTCATGCACACGTGAGCACGCGCGTGACATGTTTGCTGCATGCAGTGCACTTGTGAGTCCTCCACTTCCTCATCATCTTCTGTCTGGGTCTCCTGTCCATCACTGTGAGAGGGGTGCTGAAGTCTCCCGTTGCTACGTCAGAAGTTTCTTCTGTCACTTATGTCAGTTCTTCTTAATATTTGATGGTTCGTCATGAAGAGCCTACATGTTTACCATGTATCTTCCTTTATTGAAACTTTTATTATTAATACAGATCCTCCCTTGTCTCAAGTAACCTTTTTAAAGTCACTTTTGCCTGGTGTCAGTGTAGCCAACGGTGGTATCTTTCGGTTACTATTTGCATGGGATGTCTTTTTATGCCCTTTCACTTTCAGTCAGTTTATGCCTGAATCTGAAGTTAATCTCTTCTAGACAGCATATGGTTGGACAATGTTTTCTTTTTAATTCATACTGTTTTGTTTTGCTGTTTCTTTTTTGTATGCTGTACAGCTTTCTGTCCCTCATTTCCTGCATTACTCTGTGGGTTTTTTGTAAACATTTAAATTCCTTTCTCATTTTATTTTATATATTTCCTTATACATAGTCTAAAGCTATTTTCCTTGTTGTTACTATTGGGGTTACATTTAGCATCCTAAAGCTGTAACATTCTGAATCTACACCAACTTAATTTCAGGGACACACAGAAACTCTAACAGCTATGTCCCTGACCCTTTGGCTGTTGTCACAAAGATACATGTATGTACATCATGTGCCCTAAAACATAAACTAATAATTCTTTTAAATGCTGTAGTCCTTTAAATTATGTGAAAAAAAATGTGGAGTTACAATCATACTAGCTTTTACAGTATTGTCTAAAAGATTTTATTTATTTTTAGAGAGAAACATCAATGTGTGGTTGCCCGTCCTGTACCCCCTACTGGGGACCTGACCCACAACCCAGGCCTGTGCCCTGACTGGGAACTGAACAGGCAATACTTTGGTTTGCAGGCTCATGCTCAGTCCACTGAGCCACACCAGCCAGGGCTACACTATTAATTTATTAAAATGTACTGGTCTCTTTTACATCATACAAAAAGCAAGAGTAGTTACAAACTGCTCTTCAGTAGAACTAACTTTTACAATTGTTCATGTATTTACCTTTGAGATCTGTGTTTCTCCACAAGGCTTCAAGTCACTCTCTACAACCCTGTCAATTCACCTGCAAAACTTTTTTTAAGACTCCTTTCTTGCAGGTCAGGTCCAGCTGTCACAAACTGCTAGCTTCTACCTGGGAACATCTTAATTTTTCCCTCACTTGAGGACAATTTTGCCAAATATAGGACTCTTGGTTGATTTTCCTCCCTTTTACCACTTTGAATATATCAGCCCACCACCTCCTGACCTTCAAAGTTTCTGATGAGAAATGTTAATCTAATTGAGGATCCCTCGCATGTGATGATTCGCTCTCTCGCTGCTTTTGATTCTTTGTGTTCGGCTTTTAAAAGTCTCACTATGTGTCTCTTAGTTCATCTTCCTTGGAGCACACTGAGCTTTCATCAAATGTGGGAAAGTTTCAGCCACTCTTTCTTTAAATGTTCTCTCTACCCCTTCCTCTCTTTTCCTGGGACTCCCCCGGCACGCTGGTCTGCTCCAGTGTCCCACAAGTCCCTAGGGCTCTGTAGTGTCGCTCCAGTCCTTTTTTCCCATTCCCTAGACTATAATTTTGATGATCTTGTTTCAGTTTGTGCCTTCTTTCTTGTGCCTGCTCAAATCTGCGTTGGAATCACTCTAGCAAATACTTCATTTCATTACTGAATGTTTCATTCCAAAATTTCTGTATGGTTTCTGTTTTTTCTTTGTTGCTAACTTCATTTTGTTCATGTATCATTTTCTAGACTTGCTCTAATGTTTAGCCCTTTGAGCACTTTAAGACAGGTTTAAAGTCTCTGTCTAGTAAATCTACCTCCAGAACTTTTTAGGAGACAGTTTCTGTGGATTTTTTCATTTGAATGGGCCATACTTTCCTATTTCTTTACAGTTTTGTTGTTGCAGTGTAGTAACTCTGGAAATCAGATTGTGATCCTTCTGCAGCCTTTGCTGTCTTAATGTCCTTTTTTCCCCTCTCATTGTGGGTTGTATCCCTGACCTCGAGGGGTGTGTGGCTTCCCCAGATGGAGCCAAACCCACAAGACACCTGTTGGTGGCACAGGCTGGGCAAGAGTGCCTGTCACGACTGTTGTATCTTAAGACCTTGCAGGCCTAAGCACAGGTACACACACACAGACTCACACACACGGGCATCCGCACATGGGTACACTTGCACACATGGGCACTCACACTCACACACATTTTAGGACAGTGTTCTGAGGTTGTATGTAGCACACATCCATGCTTTGCTGGTTTATGAGTAAGATTCAGGCAAAATCTGTGGTGAATCTTGTCATTTCTCAGAGATTCTTCCTCTGCTTTTCTTCTTCTGGTAACTAAAACACACTTGCAATTACTCTTGGCTTTCTCACCTAGATTAACACAGTCTGATAAAACTGCTTGGAAGACCTAGTGTTGGAGCACGGGAGGCAGAAGGTGGCAGCTGACCCCTCGCCAACTTTCTCGGCCCCAATGACGTGTGAGGCAGGCATCCAGCCCATGTGCCAATGTGCAAGTCATGGGCCTGAGCAGGGACCAACATCAGCAATTCAACTTGCCTAGAGGGAAGGACCAGCCTGCAGAGCACAGAGGCCAGGGCCACACCAGTCACTCTGCTGGAGGAACAGGGCGCCTCCCTGCATCGCACGGCCGACTCGCCCGCATCGAGCCCCTCGGCAAACCCAGGGCCCAAGCGCCTGCACGCAAAGCGGGGGCACAGGGAGGCATGTTGTTTGGGGCGGAGTGAAGAGGCTTTACTGGACACGTATTTATTGGGAGTTCTGCACCAGTTCTTCCCAAAACAGCTTTCTCTTAAAAGCCAAATGTGACTTTCTCGTGCTCCATGCTGAGAAGCACTATGCGTGAGTGAGCCTTATAAAAATGGGGTCATGGGGCATTCCTTCCATAGAACTTAGCATTATCCAGAGATAAATGAAATATTGCAGGCTAAAATTTTTCTGCTCTGCCTTCAGCCACTGAAAGTTTGTTTTTTAAAGACAGACGGAAACCAAATTGCTTTCATATACACTGGGAACATCTGTGCTCCTGGTCAGGACACACCCCTGCGTTGTGGGTTCAATCCCTGGTCTGGTGTGTTTCTCTCCCACACCGAGGTTTTCTCCTTCCTGTCTCTAAGATGGACAGACATATTCTCAGGTGAGGATTGAAAAAAGACAAATATGTGGACAACGCGGCATGAAACCAACTGTGAAAAGCAGCCATTTACAGCAGGACAGGAATGCCCGAGCCTCCGTGGAGATGCGTGCGCCCCGGGATTCTGAATCCCCACCTCTGTGGGTGCGTCCCAGAGTGAGCGTGACTAGGGGTCACCGGGACTCCAGCGAGGAGGCAAACCTGCAGGTGATGAGGATCCAGCTTCTCATCACCTGTCTCACCTTGCACAGGGGCAGCAGCCACAGGGCGGAGAGAGACAAGGTGGGCACCTCCGTGCCAGTCACCAGAGGCTTTCCTGCGAACACACTAGAGCTGACGGTGCTTCCCAGAGCAGAATTCCGATGGGGCTGAGCGCGGAAGCCTCACAACCCACGCCCGCCGTGATCCGCGACAGCCGCCTCGGTCCTCCTGCCCCCGCCTCGCTCTGCCTTTGTGTCCGGCTCTGCTTGTCCGCACTCCCATTCGCATCCCAGGGCCAGCTCCTCGGGAAGGGTCCTGCCATCCTCCAGGTCGTCTCCACCCGCCAGCTCCCACGGGTAGTTCTTGGGGGAGAGCTCCTCGACCCTGCGGGGCCTGGCCTTCTTCCGCCTTTTCACTGCCCTTCGCAGCTCAGCCGCCGTCTCGAGCCCCGGGCACGCCGGGCTCTCACTCTCGCCCTCGCGCCCTTTCTCCTTCCTCCTCTTGTACTCCGCGATCTGCTTGTGGAGAGCCTCGTGGTCAATCCCGCACAGACTGGAGGGCACGGCAGGCCCCGGGGTGTCATACGGTGAGGGGGCCTCTGGGGCCTCGAGGTCCCTGCGGGGGAGAAGTGCAGATGAAGCGCCGGAGCAAGTGAGTGCGGCGCCCGGGCTGGCTGGTGCTGCACCTCCCCGCACCCCACGCCCGTGAGCCATGCTCACACCGGGCAGTGGCCTGCAGCCCATGGCGAGGACGGCGCAGTGCGGGCCGTCTCCAGCCCAGGACCACCCAGGGCACTGGTGGCACCTGCCTGTGGCACTGGCCATCCCAGGTCTGACGCTGCCATCTGCACCGTCATTAAACACATTTTAAATTTTCCCCCGACTTAAACTTGGCCAATGCCCTGTGAAACAGTTGTGGGTGGGGCCTTTGATGCTCAGCCGACTTGATGAACCAAAGCAAGAGAGAAGCTTCTACGCCGACAGCAAACTGGGAGGACCCTTTAAACCCGAAATCCGGCTGTGTCGCCCCTCGGATCCCTCCAACTCTCCACTACGGAGGCCCCACGCCCACGGCTTTGGCCCCTACCTGCCCGCCCCACCCCCCGCCGCGGGCTCCTGGCTGGTCCCAGACGCAGGGCCTCGCTGCAGCGCGGAGCCTCAGCTCAGCCCCGCGGCCCCGGAGTAGAGCACGCGCGGCAGGCTGGGTCCTAACACAGCCCGGGGCGGGGGGCGCGGCGCGGCGGTGCAGCCGGTCTCGGACCCCGGGCCGCGAGCCTGCTCGGGCTGTTCCCCTGCCTGGGCCGGCCCCTCCACACCCCCAGCTCCTCACCACCCCTCCCGAGGCCTCCCCTGCAAGGTCGCCTCACCCACCGCACTCATCTCCACGTTCACTGCTGCCGCTCGCCTCCCCGCAAAATGCAGGCCCCACGCACGGCCGAGCATCTGCTCACGAATCTCTGCAGTGCCCGCAGCGGCCAGAGGTCCGAGCACCAGGGGCGGATGCCCACAGCCCCAGGGCGCGCAGGGGCCCTGTGGCCAGGCGCCGCCGGAGGCCCGCACGCACGCCCACAAGCATCACCTGAGGTCCCCGCGTCCAAGGTCTTCATCTGCCGGTCCCAGATCAGCGGCTGCCAGTAACCGCTCCACCTGGAAAGGAACAGGAACGAAGGCCCTCAGCACGCGAGATCGCGCGGCATTGCGTCAGAGTGACGTCAGAGGGATGCGCGACCGCCGTGGGTTCCTTCCGGCGCCGCTTGACGTCGCTCCCGGAGGTGGCAACTTCCGGGCACTGAGTGCGTTCACCCCCTTTCAAACAGCTGTTGTCCTAACAGCCACGTTTCTTTAATGATGAAGTTTTTAAAAACTGGATTTAAACATGTAAAACATATTAAAACTGGATTTAAACGTGTAAAAGTGAAAGTTATGACCCAGCAGCTGGACGTCAGCCGAACTACCCAGGCCCTTGCGCCGCCGCACGGGACGCGCTGGGGGCGTGGGGAGGGGAAGGCCGGCAGAGCGTGTCCCCTGGAGCCAGAGTGCAGAGTCACCCAGCACCGGGGACGGCCCTGGACGTGTGAGGACGCAGACCTGGGGACCGTGTCCGAGCACAGGACTGGCGACGCTGCACACCGTGGACAGGCGGGGAGGAAAGACTTGCAACGCGCGCTCTGACCAGGGATGTGGACTGGACCACACAGCTGCACAGCCAGACAACCCGCGAGAACCGAAGGCATCACCGAAGGAGGGACGACCCGCAGGGCTCCAGGCATGCGCTGACCCCACCAGGCCGGCGCTCCCAGCCCGCAGGTGCCCACGGATGCTGCCAGTCTCCGCGCAGGGCAGCTGCCCACCACAGCCTCACTTGGGCAGAGGACCACCAGGTGCTGACGGGTGGAGAGTCGCTGTGCTGTGTCCCCAGGGCGGATACCTGTCCCCAAAGGTGCCACACCCACAGGAAACGCAGGGATGAGTCTTGAAGCACTGCCCGAGCCAGAGGCTGAAAGCTGCTGTCCTCAGGGCCTGAAAATCAGGTGCGCCAGGGGCGAAGGAGCCAGCTCCTCGGGGTGGGCAGGAAGGCGTGCATTCTGTGCCCATGACGGGAGATCACCCGTCGATAAAGCTTATTTTAGAAGGGTTATCAAAGAACCAAATGCAGCCCCAGTTCTGACACGTGAACACCGGCGTGCTGTGTCTCTCAGACCATCCTGTGGAGAACCCCTCGTGCAGGCCCCACTGACTCCGCCAGGCCGGCGCTCTGCTCTCAGCGCCCCGACAAGCAAACAGAATAAACCACAAAACTGGCCTCCAAGTCCATGTATTTTCTTTAAAAAATTAGACTTTTTTTCCCTTATAGTTATGAAAAATCCCATTGTAAACGCCTTCTGGTTGAAGTGTAAAATGCATAGGACAAGCACACAAGCCCTCTATGCACAGCATGAGACGTCTGGAGACCACGCCCTCCTCCACGCCCACCCCAAGGCAGCCGGTGCTCTGACTTCCAAAGTCGAAGGCGAGCACACCTGTCCTTGCACTTCTTATAAACAGAACCAGAGCATGGGCCTCTCCTTTGGCTTCTGGTGTGAGGTGCTGGGTGCAGGGGGACATCTGGCTTGCACCACAGCACGTTCAGCTGCTGCCAACTCATGCCCGGTGTCTGTGGGAACTCCACACACACTCTCCCACCGCCATCGGTACCCCCACGGAATGGTGGGGCGCAGTCCACTCAGCTTCTGAAGGTTCGACCTCACCCTCCAAAGTGGCCACGCCCAAACAGCTCGGGAGCCTGTTGCTTTGGTCAGGACCTGCAGTGTCCTCACTACTGTCCAGTGAGCCTCGCTGGGGCAGGGTGTACACTGGAACTTTTGTGGCTTCACGTCCACGCTCCTGATGACCATGACGCTGAGCCCCGCACCTGGGTTTACCAGCAGTAATGGTCTCAGTGTGGATAGAGCTTATCACCACCCCTCTGTGAAATGTCCGCACCAGTGACCTGGAGACCGTCCTGAGAAGGTACAGGAAGGAGGCGAAACTGTTAACACCCCCTGCAAGCTTTCCACACAGTGCACCCAACATAAGACACTGAATAAACCGGTAGAAGACTCAAACTTTCACCCATATTCCCAACTTTAATGTTTATGACCATCCAAGCTGCTTTCTCATTGCCTGACTTCAACCTATCACAAACGCAAGGGCAAGCAGGAAACGACGTGCCCTCAAACACTCATCTGTGCAAATCCGAGACCCTCTCCGAGTGAGGCCTTTACTTACTTCTACCTGCAGTGAGACAGACTTCACGACAGCGAGCCAAGCCAAGACCAAGTCTTTACTTTGCCTCCGCTCAACACCCGGGCTCCCCTGGGCTCCGGGCACCTACAGGACCCACCCTGGCAGTGGGGCACATAGCCAGGCCCTTTCCCACCTCCTCTGGGCACACGTGGGCTGCAGCAGGACAGGCACGGTGGGACGGATGCTGCACAGGCCCGAGGCAGCCTCCAACACAGACACCCACCAGCAGACTCTGGAGAAAGGGCCTCTCTAGAACACGTATCTCATGCACCTCCCTCCTCCCAGTGGCTTCTTCTGGACAGGAACCCACAGAGCCAGGTGGGGCCTGGAGACTGCTGGTTCTCCACCTCAGAGGGAGGGGCAGGGTGGGCAAGGGAGCAGGGGGCTCGTCTTCCAGCCACGCCAGGGTTTCCTTCTCCCAGTCTGACCACATGTGCCTGGGTGGATCCTTTTATTTCATTTATATTTTTATTTTATTTTATTTTAGAGAGGGGAAGGGAGGGAGAAAGAGAAGGTGAGAAATATTGATGTGAGAAACATCGATTGGTTGCCTTCCATATGTGCCTGAGGGCAGGGGTCCCCAGCCTCCAGGCCACAGGCTGGTGCTGGTCTGTGGCCTAGAAGAACCAGGCTGCACAGCAGGAGGTGAGTTTGAATGTAACGTCCTTGAATCATCCCAAAACCATCTGCCCCACCCCAGTCCACAGAAAAATTGTCTTCCAGGAAACCAGTCCCTGGTGCCAAAAAGGATGAGGACCTCTGCCCCAGGGAAGTGAACCTGCAACCTAGGTACATGTCCTGACCAGGAATTGAACCAGCAACTTTGTGGTTCATAGGACAATTCCCAATCCACTGAGGCACACCAGCCAGGACTTTTAATAACCGCCTTAATAACCACCAGGTAACCACCAACCAGATTAAAGTACACACACACATATGCCCTGGCTGGTGTAGCTCAGTAGATTGAGCATGGGCTGCAAACCAAAGGGTCACCGGTTCAATTCCCAGTTAGGGCACATGTCTGGGTTGCAGGCCAGGTCCCCAATAGGGGGCACTCGAGAGGCAACCACACATTGATGTTTCTCTCCCTCTCTAAAAATAAATAAATAAATAAATAAATAACACATACATTTACAGGTTTTAACCTTTATAATTAACCTGTGACTAAAGCAAGCAAGGGAACTGTAAAAGTTACAGTCACAGGGCAGCATGTCAACCTTGTGAGCCTTAATGACGTGAAACAGCCGTGGCTGGGCTGAAACCCGGGGAAGTGAGAGCAGGCGGCTTCGACCGCCTCAGGTTCATAACTCGAGCCCTGGAGATCTGACTTACTAGTTAAGAGTTACAGAGATAAACATAAAAAAACTAAAGTCAGAAAATAAGGCTACCTCTGGTGACTGTTGCTGGGAACAAGCATGGAGTCTTACTTGTCATTTGTACCCCTCCCAGTGTTCGTTTGTAGAACTATATACATTATCTTCTTAGAAATCCGACCTACACGTCACAGAGCCCATGGTTTAGAGGCCTCACCTCGGCTAGAGCTGCGTGGCCTTTGTCCTGGACAAACACTATCGGTGGCATGTTCCTCAGAGTCTGCTGGGACATCAAAAGATGCCTGGGGAGAGAGGATGCACATTAGTGCAGAGGCAGGTGACAGTGAGAGGAGAGGTGTGACAGTGCCGGAAACAAACATTTACGATTTCACACAGACATGAGAGAGAAGAGTTGCTTATCACATCACTCCAAGATGAAAACATCAGCCCAGAAGTCTCCTTCAGCCAGCTGCACATCACAAAAGGGACAAGAAACGACCCCTCTAAAGTCTAAATAATAGGATCTAACCAGAGGCTCCCACCTGGGCATCACGGTGGCCGTGGGCTCCACGGCTGGTCACTAACCTCCGTCAACACTTCCTCCTCCAGCCAATGGATTTGCACAATGACGCCACCCACCACCCCGTGCCACACAGAAGTGATCTCTGTGGTCTTCAGTTATGCAACAGGGAGATAAAAGGTGACAATCTGGCTGTGACACACAGCACATCCGCTCAGTGACAGTGGGTCATGGAACACACTAAACCCAGGGTGGCCGGAGGAGTGGGGAAAGAGGACGTTCTGTTGAACTGAATTTTCTAGCTGCCTAAAAATTAATCAGGAGACGGTACTGTTACGGCGACACTTGTTAGATTTCTCACTTTCTTGTTTCTGTTCAATGTAGCAGTGAAATGCACTTGCCAACCTTTAATAAGCAACTTTACAGACGCTGAGGGACCACTGTGGTGGACATCTGTGGTCACGACGCAGGAGAGTTACACGGAGACATGAGTGTGGCAGCTGCTGTGCGACTCCGACTTCTCAGCATCTGCCCCCTTCTGACAGTGCAGGGAACAGGGGGGAGGGGCGAGAGTGGGGAGAAAGCCAAGGACAGCGGGAGGGAGGCATTCCAATTCTTCCAGGGCTGGCGGGTCGGGTGTCTGGGTATTTTAAGCCTGAGGAAACGGAGTAACTTCCCTGCTACCACCTAGCTCAGCAGTTCTCAAAGCCTCAGGGCTGCTTTACACTCAGAAAATTACTGAAGATCCCAAGGAGCTTGTGTTTATGTGGGCTATATCCAGCAATGTATACCATACTAGAAATTAATACCAGGAATATAAAATATATTTATTAATTCACTTAAACCTACTAAATGTTCACATAGACATTTTCAATGAAAAATAACTTTTCTAAAAAAAATTACTGCGAAGACTGGCGCTGTGTACACAGTTGCAGATTTCTGTAATGCCCAGCTTAATGGAAGACAGCTGGATTCCCATATTTGCATCTGCACCCAATCTGTTCAGATGTTATTTTGGTCGAAACACAAGAAGGAAACCTGGCCTCGCACGGATCTGTGACTGGAAGACGGAGGGCCGTCTAAACACGCTCACAAAAAGCGTGGACCTTTTTGGTGCTAAACAAAAACTCAACATGTGGCAGTTTTTTAAAGATTAGGTGCAATGTGGAATCAGAAACCAGACCAATGAACACATCGCACCATCACAAGGAACGCCTGGGCTCTCTTGCATTTGAGTTGACCTTTCCTCCCACGTGGTTCTGTGACCTCACACCCTGGGCGTCAGGAGACACTGGCTCACCAAGGTCTGCCGGTTTCAGGAGGCTGACACCTGTCACCACCGTCTCATCAAGAGGCTGCACGTGTTGGAAAGCTGCCAAACTCGCAGCAGTAGAAACACTGCCTAAAAATCTGATTTTTACTTGAAGGCTTGAATTTTATCACCGGCAACAAGTATGATCAACTGTTTTCCCTGAAGTGACAGGTTCACTTGGCTCATTTGCAGAAAACGTCTGTCAAAGTACCCGAATCTGAAAAACCATGGTTGGTTCTCTTACTCCCTCAAGTGAAAAAGTATCTCTTTCCGTGTGCATGGCATCGTCCCAGGGACAGCCGTTCCAGCCCGGCCCCCCGCAGGGCTCCACGCACACTCCCACCGCACACAATACGAACCAGGTCCATACCCAAGGGTCATAATTTAATGACATTAGTAGCGTTTGCTTATCCACCAAGGACATTCTTAAATAAAACTGGCCCTGTGTTTACTGCAAGCAGGCAGCATGGAGGTCCCCCGAGCTCAGGGCCTCTGGGCCCACAGCTTTACCCACTGGAGCTTTGGTGCAAACGTCTACACAGTGAGAAAGGAAGTAATGTCCCACTGTGACAACAGCTTTAACCTGACGAACACCCCCAAAGATCTCGGGGGCCGCTAGGGATCCAGGACCACAGCGAAGTTAAAAAAAAAAACACTTCTAAAATTCTTCTTAAAAGCAAAAATACATCACTAAATAGACGGGGCAACTCCGGGCGCTGCAAGAGCCAACACATTGGGCCAGCTCGGCGTCCTCACCTCATCTGCGCCGCGTGCCTCTGCAGCGTGGCCTGGGCATGCGCGTTCTGCTCGGCAGGGAGCGGCGTCCTCCAGTACACGCGGCAGGCAGAGAAGTCTGCGGTCAGAGACACCTGAGGGCCCCCCACCCCTTCGGCGTCAGTGGGTTTCCCGCAGACAGACACCACGCAGGAGCCAAATGCTAGTGCGCCGGCCATCTCCACCCACCACCTGGGCTGGTGTTCCAGCCGCACCGTCGCAGGCACCACACTCACGGCCAGTGACGCGGGGCTGGAAACCGACCCTCCCCTCCCCTCCCCTCCCCAACCCCACGGCACTCACGGGAAACGCCCAACCGCCACTGTTCTCCTCATTGTTTCCCTTCAGCTGCGCTCACTCTCACTAGACCGATGGCAGGAGGTCACCTCCTTCGTCCTTACTCCGAGACGAAGGTGACGTAGCCACGTATCTGACCCACAGGTCTGCGAATGTCTGACCCCGCTCTCGGTGCTGTCCGGTCAGAGACGCCTCCCTCCCTGCTGTGGCAGCACACGTGTCCCCTCCGTCTGTCTTTAGGGCTCAAATGGACGCACTTAGCAATGCTCCTGCAACCCAGACCAAGGGCCCTGGCAGTGGCCCGGGGCCCCTTTCCCGGCAGCTGGGCTAGCAGTCCCGGCCACGTTCCTTCTCGGTGTGGCCCCGCGGCCTACCTTGGACAGCTCCACGTTCAGGTCGTACACCTGTTGGCTCACTTCTGGGGTGCACAGCAGATCGCTGAGCGCTTTGTAGAGGAGGCCGTTCAGGGCCCTCAGGCGCACGTGGTCTTCCTTCCTGGTTTTCTTCGAGGTGCTCTTTGTCAGGAACTCCAGCTGGGACGGCTTGTAAGTCTGCGTTAGCAAGAACACACACAAAGGCTAACGTTAGCCTGTGCGGTAAACTCGTACTAGCTTACAAAAGGCCACTGGGAAGAACTTGAACACCTTGAAACAAGAAACAAATGTTACGCTCAATCACCTTAGCTTAGCCCTGGCCAGTGTGGCTCGCTTGGTCGGAGTGTCATCCCTGCACACCAGAAGGTCGTGGGTTCCATCCCCGGTCGGGGTGGCTATGAGGGGCAACTGATCAATGTTTCTCTCCTTCCCCTGCCCTCTCTCTAAAATCAGTGGGCATGTCCTCAGGTGAAGATTTTAAAAAAAATACACTTTATTCTACAGAGCTGGATCCTTCCAGATTTTATCTAGCATCCCTCCAATATAAAAATCACTGCCAGTACACATTTTTTCAAGAAAAACTTTTACTGAAATATAATCAACACATCATAAAATTCTCCCTCTTAAAATGTACAATACAGCCGTGGCCAGGTAGCTCAGTTGGTTGGAGCATCGTCCTGACATGCCAAGGTTGCCGGTTTGATCCCCAGTTACAGCACATACAAGAATCGACCAATGAATGAGTGAATAAGTGGAACAATAAATTGATGTTTCTCTCTTCCTTCCTGTCTCTCTAAAATCAGTAAATTTTAAAAAATTCAGATCAGTGGTATTTGGTACAGTGTTTTTTCCTAACCGAAGTCATTCACTACATAGACAAAAGTCTATGTACCTGTAGGTACAAAAGTCTATGTACCTGTAGGTACAATGTACCTACATGTGTTTGATACACACACACACACACACACACACACACACACACTGAAAACCGAGTGCACTTTGCTATGTTAGAATTTGATCATAGGTATGACATTCCGGAAAAACCTCGGTGTCGATAATATTTTTTAACTCAAAACTCCACGTTACCAATTCACCCGGGCCCGCTCCTACAGACCCTGCACCGCCCACTACGGGGACGGAAGGGCCACCCCGCGGCAGACTCCTGGGACCTCGCGCTCATCGCGGCCACTCGACTCACCAGGTGGGAGCCCAGGGAAGGCCCTTCATACCAAAACTTCTTTCTACGGGGAGAAAGTAAAAACTGTGTTGGATACTGACAGCAATCAAAGAAGAAAAAGTTACACAAGCTAACTCAAGTTTGCGAGACCACAACGGTTTCTAAGGGGCTGAACTCCGACGCTGACGTTAGGAGAATGGGAAGCTACCTACCCGACGACGGCGGAGGCTGGGGGCAGAGACAGGACCTCGGCTGTCGCTCAAGGTGTCCCTCCCTCCCACGGGCAGCGGAGGACAGTCTTGCCGACGCGCCTGTCCGACTGCACGGGGCACCGCGCCCTACCCGAGGAAGCCCTGTGTGCGGCTGACTCGGGCGGAGGAACCGCTACGCGAACAGGAGCGGGAGGACGTCCCGGGCGAGCTAGGAGGGGGAGCCGGCACGGCCCGCCCGCGTGGCGGCGGACCGGAGCTGGAGAACTGCATGAACTCCAGCTTCCCTTACGACAGGCCCGCACGGGGACACGCAGCCGCCGCGGTCACAGGTGAGCGCATTGGCAGGTGCGCTCCTGTTCTGTGCAGCTGAAACGGCCTAAAGACACAGCCCGGGAGCAGCGCACCCGTCCAGCTCTCGGGGTACCCGAGGCCGTTCGCCAACTACGGGTCGTGACGTCTCGCCTGCGGCAGCACGGCACAGAGGCCCGGCGGCGAAAACGGCGAGTGCTAACGGCGCGGCGGGCCTGCTGGCGACCTTTCAGGGACCACTCGCCTGGCCAGCAAAGGCTCCGCTCGCGGAGCCGGCGGCCGCGGGCCCCACCCCTGGCCCGCGGACCACAGCCCGGTGGGCCTCACTCCCGCCCCGAGGGCACCCCCTCCAGGCCCGGACCCCCGCCCCCTGCACTCAGGGCGCCGTACTTGGTTTTCGAGGCAAATTTCTTGAGCAGGTTCTTGCCGCAGGGGACCGGCGAGCCATGCAGGCCTCGGGCGCCGCCGGGAAGACGCCCCGCCTGGCGCCCACCGAGCAGCGCCCGGAGCCCCGGGGATACCCCCAACAGCCGGGGGGCAGTCGCCCACATGGCGACCGAGCGAGCTCCGGGGCAGAGCAGGCGGAGCCCGATCGACGCGGGGCGGGACGTAAAGAGGCGGGGCGGGACGTAAAGAGGCGGGGCCACGCGGGGCGGAGCGAAGTGCTGGGTAGGTGCCTTGAAGACGAGTAGGAGGGACCTGAAGCAGAGGGGCGGGAAACGTGAGGCGGAGCAACGCAGGGCGGGGCGGAACGTGAAGAGACGGGGCGGGGATCCGAGCCCACCGGGGGACGTGCGTGCTGAGCGCTGGGGATGACGTACGGCAGGGAGACGTCAGGTGGGGCGGGGCGACGCTAAGGTTTGTGACGAGAGTGAGGAGCGTTGTGGAGAACGCGGGGCGGGGCCTAGATAGGGGTGGGCGGGACCTTGAGGGGGTGGGCGGGGCGTGAAGCCTGGGGGCCGAATCGGAGGGCACTACCTGACTGCTGTGAGGGTGGGAGTGCGGCCTTTGCTGACGCTCGACCCTAACGGTTGAGGCTGCGTCGCAGCTCGCCTGCCACAAGATAGCAAGGGGAGAAATCGGGGCGGGAGGGAGGTTGGAGCTCTTAGCTTGTGGTTCGGGGGCGTGCTGGAGTGGAGCCCCTCATGTTTCTGACTCCTGACACCACCGGTCCCTTTGCTCTCGCGGAACGTTTTCTTCCCGTGCCACCTCCTCAGCAGGTCCAAACCCCCTGCAGGACGGAGGCCCACTGCTGCCCAGCCCGCCGTCACCGTCACCCCGGGACGGCCGGCGGCAGCCCAGCCAGGGTCCCCCCCCACGCTTGTCACTGGCTCTCAGAGACGCTGTGCGGTTTGGTCCTGTCCCCCACTAGGCTGCAACCCCTCGACAGGGGCGACTCGTTCCCTACGGAAGCCCCAGCACTGAGAACAGCTCTGGCACCTGGAAGGCGCTCCATCGTCATTTCTTGAATGATTGGAATAAAGGCGTGCACAGGGATTCGAGTTTAAGGAAGGCTACCTACTCCATGGAGCTGTGGGGATTTAATAGAATGGAAAGCAACGGCCGGTGGAAAATCCACGGACCTAGCCCAGGCTTTTAGTCCAGGTTCAAATATTTGCAGCTTCCAAACGCTGGAGGGTTAACTGGGCTCAGGGTTGGCGACACCTCCGCTCGCACAGCAGCCTTGAGGGTGCAATGAGAATGGAGTAAGGCCCCTAGCGGGCCCCCAGTGAGTGGTCAGCGTCGTTGCTCTCCTTGGACTGTGTGCTGGACTCTAACGTAAATACACACACAAAATGATATTTTCCCATTTAATCTGCCATATTTCGTCCCTCTGAATCCTCAGCCCACACACATCATGTAACTAGCACCTCGTTCGGAATGGGAAGGCCACTGAGAGAGGCCAGGATGCTTCCGACCAAGTTTTCCATCATCTGCCGTCTGGCCTGATGAGTGGCGCTTCCAATGTGAGGGGTCAGAGTGACATTCTTCAACTTCAGCAAAGGATGATCCCTGAAATACAGATTAGTTGGGGAAACCACTCAGAGCTGTTTGTCTCTCGAACTTCATACTTTGGCTTCACATCCCCGCCCTGCGAGGGGAAGGCTGCAGGAGGCTTGTGCACACTCTGAATCACACCTGGGTATGGCCACCGCTCATCCAACCCTAGTGCGAGGGACCTTACATTTCTGGGTGCAGAGCACATACCCTAACTGCATCCAGGCCATTATCACACAATGGCACAACATGCATGGTGGATTCAAGGCTGGCCCACAAGACCCGAAAGGGCCTTCGGAGACATAGGTGCTGGTCCCGGCGTTACTGGACAAGCAGAACGCGCCTGTGGGGAGTAGTGGCATTTGAAGGGAGATTTCCTAACTAGAATGAGCAGATTAGAGGGAGTTCTCTTCCAGGAAGAATAAGTGCGAAGGGCAAGGGTCGGTCTGGAAAGAGGAGGTTCCTAATGCAGTGGGTCAGGCAGACTCAATGTGGTGACGGGTAACACTAGAACCCAGTGCAGGGGAAGGGCTGTAACCAGCCGGGCCTCCTGACTACTTTAATACGACAGCGGCCAGAGTAGCCCTGTGACATTCCTGGCTGTTGAGGGAACACCTTTGCAATCTTATGGACCCCTGACCCTACGGACATTCCCTGCGGGCACTTGTCACTGTGGCTGCCGCAGTCCACAGGACTGGCCTATTTCAGCATATCCTGCAGTACAGCTAGCAGGGACAAGAACTCTTCTGAAAACGCTTGTCCTCCCCACAGGCGGGCCCTGCTGTGTGACAGCACACACTGGAAACCGCAGGGTGACTGGCTTGGTTGCAACTGACTCGGACCCAGAGGTAACTGAATCATGACCAACTGTGACACCTGTCCACAAACTATCTGGTGTAGAGGCAAGAGCCAATTCTGTTGAGAAAGTGTGGCAAATACTTCTGTAACTGTTACTGATTTGTCCTGTAATGAAACGGAATTAAACCGTGATCATATTCTGATATGGTGTAGCACTAGCAGTGTTGGTAGAATTTAACTACCTCATGTAAATAAGTCATAAGATAATACTGCTATTGATGATCAATTGGATTGGGAGATTGAGTTAAAGCCTCTTCAGAATATAACAATGGGCAATGACTGGCTCAATAGACTTAGCTAAATAGTAGCTAATTTATATACTCATAGTACGGCACAAGTGTGTCATAAGGAACAGAGAGTGGTAGAGCAGTGGGCAAACAACCAAGCTAGCACAAAAATACAAAAATGCATGCAATGGCTGTATCGGGTGGGTCAAGGGTTAGGCGATGACCGGTGAAATAAAGGGTTAACTCGGCAGACAGGCTTGCAGGGCTCAGACCCTGCACATTCCAAACACAGACCTCTGGGAGATGACCTCTGAGCCCTTGGGGTTCACTGCCTGATGTGGCGTCTCCCTATCCTTAGGACCTTGAGCACAGCCAGACAGTTTGTGTTAACCCTGAAAGGGTCTCCAGACCACCTTTTGAGAAACACTGTTCTGCCCTGGCTGGTGTGGCCCAGTGGGTTGAGTGCCAGCCTACAAACTGAAAAGTCACCGGTTCAGTTCCCCATCAGGGCACATGCCTGGTTTGCAGGCTGGATCCCCAGTTGGGGATACTTGAGAGGCAACCAGTCGACGTTTCTCTCCTTCTTTCTCCCTCCTTTCCCCTCTATCTAAAAAATCAATAAAATCTTTTAAAAAGAGAGAAACACAGTTCTAAATAAATTATTGTTTTCCTCAGAAATGCCTGTAAGTTCTACGGTCAGTCTTGGTAAAGGTAGATATTAAACGGGGTTGTAATGTCCTCCTCCTGACAGTGAATTGCTGACGAGGGGAAGCCAGCGCTGGAGGAATCAGAGAGCCTTTACCAAATGGCAGCATCACATTTCACAGGGAGCGACAGCATCGGGACTGTGGCCCTAGCAGCCTGGGTCTTAGGGTCAAAACGCAAACACAAATGAAATGCAACAGAAATAAATGTAAAGTTCCATACATATGCTTAAAAAACAGCTGCAGGAATAACAATTTTAGCCCTCTAAAAATGCAATGAGCTAAGGGCACAATGAAGCTTCTAGAACCAAGTGCTGCCAACACAAACTCTGTGTAATTTTCTGCAGCGGTCAGGCTGCGACACGAACACTGAGTTCAGTCTCGAGAGCACAGTTCCAGAGGGCCTTAAAAAGGAGTGCCGCGGGACCTTAAGGATGTCCAGAAATGACAGAGGTGCCATCGCTTAGGCTGTTGTCGGAGGACATGCAGATATTTAGCCTCAGAAAAAAAAGACTAGGATAAAATGTATTAGTTGTCTTAAACCACATGAATGGTTTTTTTTTTTAAATATTTTATTTATTTATGTTTAGACAGAGAGGTAGGGAGAGAGAGAGGGAGAGAAATATCAGTGTGTGGTTGCCTCTTGCACACCCTCCACTGGGGACCTGGCCCGCAACCCAGGCCTGTGCCCTGACTGGGAATCAAACCACGACCCTTTGGTTCACAGGCTGGAGCTCAATGCTCTGAGCCCCACCAGCCGGGGCCACATGAATGTTTTTAAAAGAGAAGAGAACCAAAGTTGTCCTTTGATACTGGAGAGGGCAGCCCAGGTCCAGGGGTCTGCGGAGGACTTCCCGGAGGAAGGCGGCTCGGTGCAGAGTCCACCCACGCGGCCAGCTGCCAAATGCGCTGAGCCCGTCCGCGGAGGTGCGGAGCAGAGGGCGGACTGTCTGCAGGACTGGACAGGTCCCCAGAGGCCTGCAGGCCCCTGCTGGCCAACACCCTGCATTTCTGTGACAACTCAGTTGCAAAAGCCACAGCAGGACAGCCTGAGGCCCCGCCCCGGCCCCGCCCCTCCGTCAGAGAGGGCTGTGGGTTCTGCCTGGCGTCCTTACCTGGGCAGGGGCTCGGGGTGCGACAGGTCCAGCGCTGCTGCCGTGATGACCCCGGTCTGCAGAGCTCCCACCAGGGCGTCCTGATCGATCAGCAGACCTGAGCCAACGAGACAAGTCCTCTGCGGTCACCTCAGGCAGGCAGCGCACAGAAAAGATGCTTCCGCCACATCAGCCGCTGTTCCCAGCACATCCTGACACAGGTGCACTGAACCCTCCAATCGCCCACAGTCGACACCGTGTGTCGGACGAGCAAGCCGAGGCTCCTGTTTGCACGCTCGGCAAAGACCACAGGCTCCGCCAACCTAGGTCTGAGCCTGGGCCTGGCTCACTTCTTCACGCCACCTCCCCAAACGGCCCCCAGAGATCAGCGCTATATGCACTCTGTACACACACTAAAAAGTGAAGCAGCCACAAACACGACCTGTAACTGTCACTTCAACACAAACAGCAGGGTGGATGCTCAGAAGGAAACCCTTTCCTTCCAGCAGAGACCTACAAGGAGCCCACCACTGACCAGCCGGGAGCAGCCGCCCCAGTCAGGGCCAGTCAGGGCACAGAGCCCCCTGGCTTGCCTGTGTGGCTGTGGGAGAAGCCGGGTGCGAGGCCCCTGCCTGGGGCATCTGCTTCCTCGGAGTCTTTACTGTGGTCACTGGCCTGTGGCATCCCCCAAAGCACGTAATGCCCATGCAGAGGGTCTGAATTCTCAGAGAAGCTCCAGCAGGTTGGTGCGGCCAGTGGGGCTGCAGGCAGCACTGTTTGCTCACAGAGAGCCTGAGGGGGGTGGGCCAGTGCGCACCTGTGTCCTCGGCCACTGACCGCAGAGGCCAGCAGCTTGGCATCACTCCTGACCCTCCTGTGTGCGGTCGCCGGTGGGGGTCCTGAGGACTCCATGTCCCTTCTTTACGAATGCCACGCCAGCCCGCCCCCGTACTTGGTTAAAGTACCGGCCCACTACCTCCTGCATACAGACACTGACAGCACTGCTACGGAAATGTCGAGTAACCAAACGAACACTGTCATTTTTTCAAGTGAAGGCTCAGAAAACTCATCCCCGTAAATTTTGCTTGATTACACCCAGGAGATGAAAACGCAATGCCCCTACCCCCAGTGGATGCCCAAACCTGGATCTGAAAACTCCCTCACTGACCTGAGGCTCAAAAAGAGGTGAGGGCAAAAATCAGAAACATTTCTAAATAAGCAGCTCAGCACCCCACCCGTCGAAGTGGATTTTTCAGCCGCTCAGGGAACACATTGACTGCAGATGCCGAGGAGCTCCAGGAACTCCTGTTCCCTGGCCCCCCGGCCACAGGGCCTGCACTCAGACGGTGGGCGGGCGCACCTCTGCCGACGTTGACCAGGATGGCAGTGGGCTTCATCAGCCTCAGCTCCCTCCTCCCGATCAGCCCCTGGGTCTGGGGCGTCAGGCTCACAGCCAGCATCACAAAGTCTGAGTGCCGAAGCAGGTCGTCCAGGCTCTCACAGTAACTGGCCCCAACAGCTTCCTCCTCCTCCAACTTCCTGTGAAGAGATCGAGGAAGAAAAACCGCATTTCCTAGTCAGAGATTCATTGTGTTGCCCCGGGGAGGAGTTTCCAGAGGGGGCCAGGGACTGTCCCCAGGTGGGTCCAGGACTGGTCCCAGAACCCCGTGGGTACCGACCTCTCTGCAGGGCCTCGCAGCGACCCAGGGCTCCTTGAGGCCAGGGCTGTCCTCTCACTCAGCGCTGAGCCCACAGAGCCTGGTACAAGCACGACTGTGTGTCAGACGTGCTTCCAGTCATGTCAGAGCGTCACCAAGTGTGGGGACACGCATCACCCTCCCCAGCAAACAGTACAAAACGGGGGAGGGCCGAGAGTGCTGTCTGTTAACCAGACTAGAGGGTCTGAGCATCTGGCAGAGGCAGGCTTGTGCTGCGGCTCTGGTCCAGTCTGAACTCCCGCGCTGGCCCCCCCAGACGGCTGAACGCTCCACGGGAATTCCAGGCTCCAGGAGGTCACAGCAGGCAGCTGCCAGTGCCACCAAGAGTGGGACACGAAATTCTATGAGCCAGGCACACCTGGAAGAAAGCACACCCAGCTCCCTCCGAGATGCCCTGCCCACGCGGCGCACCCTGTCGGGAGGGCGCTGGCCTCGGCCTCTGCCCTCTCCTCACACTGAGCACTGCCTCCACGGCCCGCTGTGCAAACAGTGGCTGAAAACAGGGACGGGTCTTGACCTAAAGTCCCCCGGCTCACCGCACCACCCTGGATTTCTCATCGGCAGCAATTCCACTCCACGTGCCAGGGCAGCCACCACGACGGGGAGCAGTGTCGTGCTGGCCTATGTGCAGAGGGGACTGGGCGTCCAGGAGCAGGCTGGCGGCCCCTGGGGGATGTGCAAATGGGGTGAGACAACAGGCCGTTTGGAGACCGAACCATTAGGGCTGGTGCTGGGCTGAATCGCACGTGACAGGAAGCGGCCTTCAGACGGGGTGAGGGGGTGAGCACGTAGCCCAGCACTAGAGAAACTAACTGGCCAAACTGCAGTGTGTGTGTGTGGACGGCACCTCCCGTGATCAAAAGTCACTCAAGAAATAAAAAAGAACAATTATATTGAGCTAAAATCCCTTCCTGGTGAGTTTTTTTAATGGAAATCAGTCACACGTTCCTGAGTAATGGTAAAAATACCGCCACCCCTTTCTGAACCGTCAGCTCTGCTTTCTGGAAGAAAGAGCAGGGAGTCTGATGGGAAATGTGGAACTCATACACCCCAGCCACAGTCAGGGCAGCGCCGGCGTGCATTCTGCTGGGCTCACTTCCAGTCCGCTCCGGCTCTCACCTGCGTCTCCTGTTGTGGTACAGAATCTTCATGTCAAATGCCCTGGCCCGCTGAGCCACCTTGTAGCCGATTCTGCCCATGCCCACGATCCCCAGGGTGGCCCCCGTCACTTCCTGACCCATCCAGTTCGTGGAAAAGTTCTGTGTGTCCGGTGAGACGGCCAGCTGGTGACCTAAGGTGCACGGGAAGACAGAGGGGAGTGGGGATGGCACCACACAGGAACCCACAGCCTTTCCTGAGGCCTTTTTGTCAGGGTGACACGGGTAGGGGATGCCAGTGGCAGACCATGGCTCTCATGGACTCTCTGGGACAGCAAACAAATGTGTCTGCAAGGGAAGGAGGGGGACAAACGGCAATGTCCTCCTAGCACAGCCAGTGCTTCCTGGGGAAATGCCGTAAAAGAGCAGGTCCTTTCGAACTGGGGAAGTCTTCCTGGTTAAAGTCGGTTGGGGGTGTGTCTGTGCATGTAACTATGTGCGTGGCTGTGTCCATGTTTATATCTGTGACTGTGAGTATACGTGTGTGACTGTGTGCATGTGTACTCTACCTGTGTGGGACTGTGCACATGTGTACTCTATCTGTGTGGGACTGTGTGTGGGACTGTGAGTACGTGTGGGTTACTGCGTGTGTGTGTGTGTGTGCGCGCATGAACCAGCATTCGGAAACAGGCTACTTCCTGCTTCTCTCTCTCGGACCCTTCACACCACAGCTCCACAGGGAGGATGGGCGAGCCGAGGGGATACCCTGCCTTTCCTGGGACGCCCCTGAGAGGTCCGGTGCACGGACAGGTGGGGTGCTGCTTACTCACAGGCAGGCCTTCACCCCCAGGTAGCATGCTGCCCAGCCAGTGAATGACCCCCAGGGAACTTCCAGAGTGGAGCTGAAACTACCGCATGCACACACTTCCCACCTGTCATACGAATGAGTGGCATTTGGTGGAGGGAAATGGCTGCCAAGAGAAAGGCTGCTGAACTACTTGTGCCCGGAGCGGGGCCTGAGCACTCAGCAGGATGCACATGGCCAGGAGGGACTCCAGTTCCCAGGTGCCACCAAGTCCGGGACGTAGTGTAAAGCAATCAGGGCCAAAGACTTGAAGTTTGAAAGTAATGTTATACTTGTCATCTGTTAATAAGTGTTTGCCATCGATCTCTTGGGAAAACCAGCATCTCCAAGGCGGCTTACCTTCCACTACTCTCCGGGCTGCCGCCAGCAGCAAGGCCATCCCCATGTCAGCCATGGGGATGGACACAGCCTGCGGCGTGTTGGCCACCTTCACACCAAAGCTGGCGAGGAGCTTCAGGTCCAGGTGGTCTAGACCGGCTCCTGAGTTGGCAACAATCTTCAAGGCCGGCAGGCCCTCCAGGAGCTCCTGAGTAATAGCGGGCTTTCTGCCCCAGATGTACACAGCCTGGATCTGTGGACCCAATTGTGCTTTATTGTCCAGAAATTTTTGCATGGTAATAAGATTGAAGTGTTTCTGCAGCTCTGCAACATGATCTTCACATACACCAGACGGTCCTTCCAATGCAGACACCAGAACTCCTGGTAGGTCCTGATCCCCCATGGCCTGCGGAGAGACAACCATGACTTCTGCTGTCAACACAGAGTCTGTAGGACAACAACCTGCATGCTCCCCCGATCTTCAGATTTTCTACATTACAACACAGCTGGAATGCATTTGAAAGTCCCCAGACCCAGAACTCTGAAGGCACCCTCCTGGCAATCAGGCCTTGGTGTGACCCCAACCTTGGGGTGTGCTTCCAGTGAAGAGAAGATGGCAGAGCAGGAGGTCGCTGCCCGATGCTGGGAAGCAGCCTGTGCAGGTGCTGAGACTGGACTTAGAAGCAGGTCTAAGAGGCTGGTCTAAACCAGGTGAGCCTTGAGATGCTGCAGCCCCCGTCAACACCTCAGTTAAAGTTTCATGAGAGACCCTGAGCCAGGGCCACCCAGGTAAGGCACTCCTGGATTTCTGAGCTGGATGCCTGGGAGATAGCAGATGTTTGTTTTTCCAGCCACTAAAATTTAGGGTAATTTGCTATATATGCAACAATAACTAATAAAATTGTGGACAAAAAAAAGGTTCTGCAAAAAGTAACCTCACTGGGTGATCTATGAGGTCACAAATTCCTAACTTGGCAAATCACACCCCAGGTATACAACTTTTTGTAGCAAAAGCTTTATCTTTGCCCTAAGAAACTCCTGTCCATTGTTGTTGTGTGTCTGGGTTAACGTGGCTTTGGAATGCCAGGTTACTCCTATTTCTCAGACCCCTGAAGTGTGGCCGCCCTCAAGGGAGGCAATTTGGTCAGCTCCTCTGTAATCCAGTCCCCACCTGCTCTGTCCCACCTTCCTTTCATCTTCCTCATATTCCCTTCTTGTTTCCAAGTGCATTAAAAACAAACAAACAAACAAAAACCATTCATGCCCTGGCTGGTGTGGCTCCGTGGTTGAGTGCTGGCCAGCAAATCAAAGGGTCGCCGGTTTGATTCCCAGTCAGGGCACATGCCTGGGTTGTGGGCCAGGTCCCCAGTAGGGGGCATGTGAGAGGCAACCACACACTGATGTTTCTCTCCCTCTCTTTCTCCCTCCCTCCCCTCTCTCAAAGTAAATAAATACAATGGTTTTTTTTTTAAACCCCAAACTGTCATTCTGGGGAGTGTTTGAGATCTTGCCTCCTGGCAGTTTTCAGTTTTGGGTCAAATAAACTCTTGTTAAGATTCTCTACAGGTTTGGAAGTTACAGTGACCATTTTTCACCATGAAAATAAGATATTTTTTATCTGTCAAATGAATTAAATAAGGTTTTATGTTCCTTGTCCCTCATTAAAAATAAGGTATTTCTAACATGTTACAGCCTTCCTGAAAAGTAAAAGCAGCTGTGTTTTGAGAATTGAGGCCAAGGAAGCATTACATCTTTGTGTCATGACTTAGCTAAACATATTTAACGCTTAGGGCACAGCTGGTTTAAAAACGTTGTTTGGACGTTAAGTAAAAGGGTAAAAATACTTTATTCACGAAAAGAAGACTTCAGTTTACTTTTGCGGAGAGGGAACTCGATTCCCGACCACTTCGCACTTGACTTTCCGCCAGCACCAGTGAAAGAGCGATGGCACACGCCCATCACTCCACTCCGGCCAGGGTTCTGGGCGGAAGAGAGCTGAGGCTCTCCAGGCGACGCGCGGCTGCTCCAGGTGCTGCGAGGGGGCGCGGTTCCCCGTGGGGCGGGGCGGGGGGCGGGGGAGAGGAGGCCCAGTGACGGAGCAGCGCGCAGAAGCGGGGCCCAGGCCTTTCCTGGTCTCTGTCTCTCGCGCCTGGCTTCGGCCCTCGGCAGTCGCGGCCCGGGGCCCAGCGAAGGGGCAGGAGGTGTTGGATCCGCCGGACAAGTGTCTGATCGGTACGGGGCCGCATAAGGGGACGAAGAGATGAAGATGTGCCGAGGGTTGTACAGAGTCCCGGAGGCCCTGTTTGCTCGTTCGAGGTTAATGAAAACTGCGCCGTTTGCGCCTTGCGGGTAAGGTCCTTGAGTTACCAGGCGTCAACAAATGCGCTACAATTCGAAACCAACGCACTGTCACGCCGCGTCCCAGCCGAAACGGGTGCTGCGCTCCTAAAACCCGGGTTCGCGTAAGGGAGTAAACTAGGAACTAAAATCCGATGCGGGTGTTGGAAGTTTGCCCACTTAAAGCCAAAGGGCCCGTTGCCCTCGGCTTAGAAAAGCAGCATCTGTCCACATCGACCTTTGAATTCTCGCCGCGTCCCCGACGCGCGGCATCGTCCCCCGAGCGGGGCAACGCGGCATTTCCCCCCGTGAACCCCCCCAGGACCCTCCCGTGCGGGTCGGGTGGGTCTCAGGACTCTAACGCGGCGCACTCGTCCCGGGTGAGGTCTGCTGTCCCCGCCGGACTCCTGCGGCGGAACTCCGTCCGGTCTTCCGCCCTCGCCACGACACGCTGGGGCACGCTTACCGTTTCAAAAGACCCCGGATGTGGGGGGCAAGCCAGCAGAACCCAGCCTCTCAGCCGCGCACCTCACGGCGAACGCCAAGGTTCGAAGAGCACAGCGACCTCGCACCTGTCCACCACACCTCACCTAGCCCCGCCCCTGCTCCGCGTCGCCCCGCCCCTGCTCCGCGTCGCCCCGCCCCTCCCCGGTCTGCCCCGCCCCCGCCTGTGCGGGGACCAGCAGGACCGCCCCCTATTCCTCGGGCTCCGCCCCGGCCCCGCCTCAGCCAGGCCCGACAGGCCCCTCCCCCTGGTTTAGTTTCCAGCTGGAACGCCGCGGAAGCCATGGCTGGGGCGCACCGGAAGTGCTTTTGCGTGCGTGCGTGCGTGCATACGGTGGCTCAGAAGGGTTTGACGCCAGTGGTGGCTGGGGCTGGGTTTGGGAGGGAGCCTCTTTCTCGACCGTCGGCGAAGCCGGGGCGGTTCTGGCCCTGGGAGGAGGGGCGAGTGGCGGGCGTGGCCAAAGCGCGGCGGGAGCGGAGGCTGGGGTGGGACTGCACGCCTTCAATAGCCAGTTAAAGTTGTACGTGTGGTTACTATGATTTCAGAGCCACATGCTTACGACAAGTGGAAGTGTTTTAATACACTTGTAAAAAGAGTAAAGTGTTGCTTTGATGTAGGAATGAGGTAAGGCGTGCTACACCTGATGTCCGTGATGGGCTGCAGCCCAGCTGCTGGCGCGGGCGCTGGGCTCAGCGATAAGAACCTGTGGAGAAGCCACGACGGCAAGGGGACATTAGGTTACAAATACTGGGCGTTTGCGAGAACTGTCTGAGAGTTTCGGAGTGGGTGAGGCAACTCTTCTAAAAATCTCTCTGAAGACCCTTGCGGTGTTCCCGCTGAACAGTAGCAAGAAACCACAGGGCCCACCTACCAACACTGCAAGGTCAAGATCAGGGTACAAAAGTCAATTTTGTTTCTATACTCTAGTTATGAAAAGTCTGAAAATATTTAAAACAATCATTTAAATAGCACCAAAAAGAATAAAATACTTAGGGATATAACTAAGTGCAAGATGTGGACCCTGAAAACTCACAGAAATTTTAAAAAGTCTTAAATAAATGTAAAGAATCCCATATGCATGGATTGGAAGAACTGATCTTAAATGGTAACACTCCCTAAATCGGTGTACGGGTTCAACACAAATCCCTACCAAAATCCCCAGCTGCCTTTTGCTGAAGTTGACAGACTAACCCTAACGTTGGTCGGGAATGCAAGGGACCCAGGAGAGCCAAACCAGCCTTGAAATGAAGCAAAACTGAGGGACTCACTTTCGGATTCAAGACTTACTACAAAGCTTCACGAATCAAGACAGACTGACATAAGGCTACGCATTGTTGGGAACCACTCTGCCTGGTTTCAGAAGCTGTAACCCCCACTAAGGCTAAGGCTGAGGGAGTGACCTTGGACCATAAGCCACCAAGGAGACAAAAACTTTTCTCCCTGGCTGGAGCGCTGCTTCTGCTGCTTCATTCATATCTGGCCCCCAAAGCTTGGTTGGTTAGCCAAAGACAGGTAAGATTCCCCAAGGGGGGAATGATCTAAGACAGGCACGATCACGTGGGAGGCCCTCAAAAGAGGGACTTTGCGGGCTACAGCAAAAGGAGGTGATGGACCCTCACCCCTCGGCTTTGACATAGCCTGAGTCCTCATCGTCTGGGAGAAAATCTCCTTATCCCTTGGCTGCCTTACTTCCCTTGCTCCACCTAAGCCTGAAACAATGACAGAGGGTGGTGCAGCCCTGTGCTGCAAAGGGCAGGTTCCCCCTTAGGTGATGAGTCCTAAGAAAGAACATGTAAATTACTGTGAAGCCTGCTTTGTTTAGAATGCTCTCAGTTGAATGAGAAGGGTCCAAGCAAGAAGTGAGTTTGTCCCTCAAAGTTTTTTTATAGTTCTTTAGCTATCTGACCCTGACTCAGAATAGGCCCTCAGAGGTCCCTGTTATTTGATCTGTACTTCTGGGCAATGATTAGTGAGCTTTACCTGAATTCCTGGGTAAACAAACCCAATAAAAGCCGTTGGGGAAAAGGCTCTTGGTCCTCCTGTGAGAGGCTGGCCACCTTTCCTCCCCAAGCAGATCATGTCTTGGTAGACTTACTCTCATCCGTGGCGGACGGGGGGCTCTGCGGACAAAGCTCCCCCACAACACACAAAGATCACTGGAGTAGAACTGACACTACAGAAATAACTCCTTGCATCTCAAGTCAATTGATTTTCAATAACGGTGCCAACGCAATTTGATGGGGAAGGAACAATCTTTCCAATAAACGATGTGGGATGACTGGATACCCACATGCAAAAGAAACAAGTTGGACACCTGACGTACACAAAAGTTAACTCAAAATTATCGTAGACCTAAATGTAAGAATTAAAAGCATAAAATTCTTACAGGAATAAGGAGAAAACAGGAGTAAACATTCATGACCTGGGTTTCTTAGGCATATGACACCAAAAGCACAAGCAACAAAAGAAAAAAAACAAATTGGACTTAATCAAAATGTGAAACTTTTGTGCTGCAAATAACACCAATATATTAGCTCGGGGTACTTTCGTGTCAATAAACTGCTTTAGGCAAGTAAAGCAGAGTGTGCTTTCATTTGCTGCTTCTGTGGAGTGACTGGGACAAGCCCCGCCCCAGGCAGGGCGGCTCCGCCTTGAAGCCGCTTTCAGTCCGACACAGACCCCGCCCTTCGGACGGTGGGCCAGCCCCTTCGCAACCAGACTCGGCGACAGCCAGACTACTCACCCGGGCAGGCAGCCCCAGCACGGACGCGCGCACGGCGGACGCACGCACGGCGGGCACGCGCACGCACACGCCTGCCCGCCTTGTCCGCCTTGTCGGCCTTGCCCGCCTGCCGGCCGTGGGCGGCCGCTGAATTGGAGTTCGGAAACCTGCGGAGGTCCGTGTGGGCGAGGGTCGGGGCTCCGGGGTCCGGATCATGGGGGTGGGTGGCGGGCGTTCGGGCCGGAGGGGAGCGGAGCTGGGCGGGGAATCGGGAGTGGGGTCCTGGGAGGAGATGGGGCCCGCCGGGAGTGGGTGTTCGGGGTCCAGAGGGGGAGTGGCGGTCGCGGCGGCAGCGCCCCCCGCCAGCGCCGCCCGCCAGCGCCGCGTGCTGTGGTTGAGCCGGAAGCAGCTCGGCCACCGAGTCCCTCTCCCACAGCAGCCAGCACAGTCGCCAAGATGTCGTACATGCTCCCGCACTTGCACAACGGCTGGCAGGTGGACCAGGCCATCCTTTCGGAAGAAGACCGGGTGGTCGTCATTCGGTTCGGCCACGATTGGGACCCTACGTGCATGAAAATGGACGAGGTTCTGTACAGCATCGCGGAGAAGGTACCGCAGCCCCGCTCCCGGGGCGCCGCAGCTGCTCGGTGTCTGCTTTCTTTGGCTTTGCTGGTGGGCAGGGAAATTTAAAAGTGAGGGTGAAAGCCGCAGTCCGCACTCATTCCTCAAGCCTTAATTTCCAGAAGCCACCAAATGAACAGAACTGACTTGGTGACGAGCTTGATCCGTAGCTATAGGGTGCTTTTCAAAATTTGCATGTGTAGTTCCATGAGCATAACACATTTGCAGACTTTGGCAAGAGCGGTGGCATTCACTTTTAAAAGCTCAGCTTAAAAAGTTTGTCCTTTTTTTGGTACCACGTTTACTTGTATTTGTAAAGCAGAACGTTTATGTTAATGGCATAGTAAATCCTGCTGTTTCCTTTTTATTTTAATGCCACCAGGCTCATTGTGTGTCACTTGATGTGATCATTTAGATGCAGGGAACAGTCGAAGAACATAGAATTGTTCCTTGTTAGATCTGGTTTTCCTGACGTTTCACGCCATACACAGGGTTGCCTGGGGCGCTTGTCTGCAGGCAGTAAGTGTGCAGTTGTAGGCGTTAGTCTGTAACCAGGGCCTCAATTCTTTTTTGAAATTTCTTCATGGCGATTTTAAGATAACAGACTAGGATTTTTGCAATTGCAGCAATAGAGCAAAAGGCAAATATATTAGAGTGTTAATGAAATAATTAACTTCTTACTAATTTATGAATTATCTCAGGTTATTCATTTGATTGAAAAGTAAAAGTGGACACATTGAAACCATTTTCTTTTTAAAGATTTTATTTATTTTTAGAGAGGGGAAGGGAGAGAAACATCAGTGTGTGGTTACCTCTTGCGCACCCCCACTGGGGACCTGGCCTGCAACCCAGGCACATGTGCCCTGACTGGGAATCAAACCGGCGATCCTTTGGTTTTCAGGCCGGCACGGAATCCACTGAGCCACGCCAGTCAGGGTGAAATCACCTTTTCTTTCATGGTAATAGGCGATACTAACACAGGCCGGGTTAAAATGACACTTTGAGTCAATAGCAACAGAGATAAAGATACGTCTTGTACTTGGGAAAGGAAAGCTGATTTTACAGTCTCCTGTTCAATAGGAAAGGCAGAGCGGGGGTGGGGGGTGGCACTGTGGACGTCAGGGACCGGTCTTCCATGTCAGTCATCATCAGTGCCCCTAGGAGTACTTACCAAGTGCATCACCAAGATTCTGATTCCATGGGTCTGGGGCGAGGTCCAGAAACGGCTTCTGTAACAAGCTTTCAGAAGCCCCTCCGCAGAGGCCTGGGTCTGAGTACGAGTGTGGCGCCTGTCAGCCATTCCCAAGGCTCCTGAGGAGACTCCTGGGGAGCCCGGAGAGCCTCAAGTGGGCCATTCGTTCATTCATTGTTTCGGCTGCAGTGGTCAAGGGCAGGTCCTGCTGAGCTCAGTGGAGACGCTACTGAGCACTTTCCCGAGAAGCAGGTCCTTAGCGTGCTGTCAGCTAACCCAGGGTGTGTGTTCCGGGCTCTGCCTCGCAGGTGGCAGCGTCATCACCTGGTGATGTCCAGATCCTGCTGCCCGCAGCGCCGGGCTAGGATGGCTTAGAGACGTGAGGGCTGGTTGGCTCTTCATGTCTGAGCAGACTCAGCAAGGTGCCCTTAGCTAGGAGACAGATTTTATGCGCTAACCTAAGTTTTTAGGGGTTTTGACCACAGTGGTTCTTTTCTGACACCTGTATGGCAGTTTTCAAGCGAATCACGGTGTCACCAATGACCACACTCCTCTTGTAGTGAACCTGTTGATGTGAAGTTTAACTAGACTCACTTTGAGCATTTTCCTCTGGCCTTTTAAGTTACTCTTTTTATTTTGTCCCAAAATTTGGATTTTTATTTTAATGAACTTTCAATATTATACTATTACGTAGCTATTCAAAATGCAAACTTGAAATTTATTATAAAGCTACTAATGTTTTTATTTCCTTCTTAGTATAAGGGCCAAATATGAATTTATAATTCTGGAAGTTCTTTTGGGGAGCTCAACAGGAATTTTTGAAATGTAAGATTTTAGTGTAAAGAACAATTTAACTCTATTTAAAAATCTCCCTCTGCAGAAATGGCAGATAATGGGGGATCTTCCTCATCTTGTTACGCGCCCCGTTTGGATATCCCAGCTGTTTTAAAGTGAGTAAAAGTCCCCGTGCTGAGGCTGAAATGTGGAGTGTTGACTTGGTGCTCTGACAGTGCCAGGCCCTCATACTGGGTTCCTGTTGAGCCGTCCTGAAACAGGGAGATGCTCTTTACAAATGTCCCAAAGTTGGGAGAGTGATCATAACAAACTTTTCTGTTAAGCAGATGGTTTTATGTGCAGGGCACCCACCCCCGCCGCCCTTTTTTTACTTTGATTGATTCCAGAGAGGGGAAGGGAGGAAGAAAGAGGGAGAGAAACATTGATGTGAGAGAGAAACATCATTCAGCTGCCTCTTGCACGTGCCCTGACCAGGGACTGAACCCTCAACCCAGATGTGTGCCCTGAAGGGGAGTTGAGCCCACGACCTTTCGGTTTGTGGGACGTTGCCCCACCCACTGAGCCACGCGGCCAGGGCTGTATGTAGCTTTGAAGAGAGACTGGCTCGCGTCCCTCTGCGCTGTCTGCTGTTCTGTAGGAAAACAGTGTGTCACAGCCCGCTGTTACCTAAGTCTCGTGAGGGATAAGAGTAAATGGAATGTTTAATTTTTGTGTTAAAAAGCCCAGAAAGTAGTTTAAAACATGCAGCACCCCAGTGGCATTGGCTCGGAACTATACATTCTAAAAGGAGCTGTGTGTAAGGCAAGCACATGGATAGGACTCTTGGGGGTGGCCGTGGGGAGCTTTCTGAAGCATCACGTGATGTGCGTGGACCAGTGGGAGCTGGTGCTCGGTCAGTGAGGAGTTGATCGGAACCAGCAGAAAGTGCACTTTTGTGTTTGCTGTGGGTTTGTAGCTCTGGGTGTAGCAGCCTTCCAGCAAGCAGCTCCGCGTGGCAGGACTGAGCGGTGGTTAAGGGTGAGGCTGCCACCTACTACCTGTGTGACCTGGAAGTCTGCAGGAGAGGGGCACCAGGGCCGAACCCACCGGTAGCTGTGAGAGCGGAGTGGACAGAAAGGCCTGCAGAACACGTCCTGTTGTGTAGGGAGTGGTCGGTCCACAGTCCCCACCGCCGTCGTGATCACTTACCTCACGTCACAGAATTTGCAGCAGTCATGAGGAGCTAATCAGGGCACGCAGCTTTAGAAAATAAAGTCACCGTGTAATTGTTTTCGAGGATTTGAAATGGATTACCTAGAAGTGTAACAATTAGCCAGGGGATGCACAGACCACGTGTCCTGGTGTGTCCGAGGGGCTCCTAGCCAGTGCGGGGGCTCCGAGCAAGGGGCGCGGCGGTGGCTGGTCACCGGCTCCCTGAGGAAAATGTGCGTTAGTGTGCGGGCAGCGGGCCTGGAACGGGTGTTTACTGATGCGGATGATGTGCAGAATGTGGGTATTAGAAACAACTTGATGATAAAAGTATAATTTGTGGGTGTGGTTCATGGTTAAAAACATACTACCGAACAGCCAGTTATGATGACTACAACGTAGAGGCAAGTTTTAAATATGGTAGACTTATGCAAATGAGTTCACGGTACCATTTGAAAAGACGAGTCCCATGGGTAAGCGGGAGAAGAACCTGAAAAAAGGGGAAATTCTGGTGGTTAGGTAAACTTCAGAGAAACACATTAAAATGGGCACTGTCACTTCTTGGGCGCCTCAGAGACAGGAGGTGTGAGGTGTGGGGTGTGCTCCAGCCGGGATGTTCAGGTGGTGGGGCCGGCGTTGCACAAAGAGCCTGGCGAGCAGTCACCCTGTTCTCAGCCCCTGGCCCTTCGGAGGCGAGGCCTGGCCCCCCACGGGCCCACGGCTGTCGTTCACAGTGACAGGGAAGCAGCCACAGTGTCTGGTGACGGGGGGCAGTGGGCCAGGCGCAGCGCCGGGGGGACGGGGGGGGGGGGCCCGACAGCGCCAGAGCAGGTGCTGGCAGTCGGCGGGCCAGGCATGGACGTTGGGGCTGAAACTGGAAACGTGCACCCTCCCGGGTGGCGTGTTATGTGGCCGTGAAAGATGGTCTTCTCCCGGCTTTAATGAATGCGGGGAATGATGGTGTCAGCTGGGGAAGGGCAGGGAGTACAGGCTGTAGCCATTCGAAGAACTAATTGTTTAATGTAGCCATAAAAGTTGTGTTTTTGTCAAGGACAGTGTATATGAGAATGCTTGTGATTAAAGCCAGGCACTAAATATTGTATCTGTATGATCACATTTTGTTAAAACAGTATGAACAGATTTTTTTTTTTAGATTTTTATTTATTTTTAGAGGGGAAGGGAGGGAGAAAGAGAGGGACAGAAACATCAGTGTGTGAGAGATACACTTATTGGTTACCTCGCACATGCCCCCTACTGGGGACCTGGCCTGCAACCCAGGCACGTGCCCTGACTGGGAATTGAACCAGCAACCTTTTGGTTTCCAGGCTGGTGCCCAATCCACTGAGCCACACCAGCCAGGGCTGAACAGATTTTTACAGTATAACTATGTATATACCAGGAAAAAATGGGAAAGAATACACTAAAAATACCTTTGCAGCAGTTAACTTTGTGTTGGTATTGAAGGTGATTTTATTTTTCATTTTTTTGGGGGGGGTGTTCTAAATCTTCTCTGATGAACTTGTAATTAAAGAAAATTTGACATACACGATATTATTTGGGACACTAGTCTTTTAGCATTTACAAGAGGCGAAGCCTAAGTACATGGGGAATGTACAGCTGAATCTCAAAGGCGTGTTGTAAAGCAGCTGTTCCGTGCATGTGATGAAGTATTCATACAAGTACAACTTTGAAAAGCTTCTATAGATTATTGCTAGATCAGTGTGAATAACAGCACGTGTGGACATTTTCTGCAGATTCTTGTAACTTACCATTCTGAAAGTGTTAAAAGGAGGTGTACACAGCCAGTGAATTGCTCAGAATCCTGAGCTTGTTGGATTGTTTTCTGTGTTAATGCTGTTGTAAAAAATGCTGGAGAGTTCGTTTGGAAATTGCTCTATTACACACAGAGATGGTTGTTTTCACTTTTAATGTGCTTTTGCAGAATAAAAGATCGACTTGTTATTTCAGACTTTTTTCAATCTTCTTTACTTTCAGGTTAAAAACTTTGCAGTTATTTACCTTGTGGACATCACGGAGGTGCCTGACTTCAACAAGATGTACGAGCTGTACGACCCGTGCACGGTCATGTTCTTCTTCAGGTGCGCCCCCTCCCGCCCTCCCAGTCGCCACTGGGGTCGCCCCCTCCTCTTACAGCTGTTTCGATTGGAGTGGCTGGTCCGGAGGTCTAATGCGATCAAGGTGCCTTTAGATCCTTTTATTCAGAAGGAAGTCAGTTACGTAGCCTTGTCACTTACAGACTGTATCACCAGGCAGTCAGTGCAATCGTTTAAACAATGTCCAAAGTAATTTCCAGTTTTAGTGTTTCCTTGCTAACAAATTACTCTTTTGAAATAACTTTGCCCAGAAACCTAGGTGAGGTGTAATTACATGGAAGACATTTTTACTCACATTTAAGGTACCTTTAAATAACCTGTTGGTGAAAAATGTCTTAAAATAACTCACTTTTGAAATACGACATCAGTGACTCTATTTAGTGTTCTTTGTGAAACCTGCACTTAATTTCTTTGTTTACAAGTCATTCGATTAGCGTAGACATTCTGTTGTGGACTCTAGCCTGTGAATTATTGGCCTGAAGAACAGCGTTTCCCTGGCTGCCTTAGGTGCATTCGATTCCGCAGCTCACTAGCTTTGCTTCAGAGGAAGCTGTGGGAATGGACGCCGGCCAGGGCCATAGGGGCCTGGCGCAGATGCCACGTACGTTTGATGGTATTTGTGTAGCAGGAAGGTCAGGTCACATCATGAGTAAAGAAATGGCTCTGTTGTGGAGGCCTCATTAGAAAGAGACCACCCTCGGACATTGCCGCATGTGCCAGTGCCTCCCTGCTGCTGCTGCCACCCAAGCCAGTGGGCGGCAGTGTCGTGTCCGCCCACACGTGGAGCCCCCGTTGGCGAGGGCGGCCCAGGTGGGCTGTGCAGGGCGGGCCTCAGCTTCACAGTCTGCGTGACCAGCCAGCACAGCTTTGTGGCTGAAAACAGCACCGTTTGTGAACTCGGGCCCTGCAGGCCCGAGGCGGGCAGGCTCCGCGGGTTCTCTTGGGGCAGGTTGGTTGGGGGAGGACCCCCGAGGCTCAGCCCGGTCGTTGGCTGGGCCCCGGCCCCTCGGGGGCTCCAGTGAGCGTGTGCCTCTCCCTGCAGGAACAAGCACATCATGATCGACCTGGGCACCGGCAACAACAACAAGATCAACTGGGCCATGGAGGACAAGCAGGAGATGATCGACATCATCGAGACCGTGTACCGGGGTGCCCGCAAGGGCCGAGGCCTGGTCGTGTCCCCGAAGGACTACTCCACGAAGTACCGGTACTGAGCGCCGGCCGCGGGCGGGGCATGTGCGCCGAGCAGCCGCTTCCCGTGGACATGCGTGGATTCCCGTGGACATGCGTGGAGCTCAAAGCCTTTGCGGAGGAGTCAGGGGAAGCACGGGCCTGCGTGGTCCACACCTGGAGGTGGCCTGGCGGCCGTGCTACCACGCTGGCAGGCGTCTGTAAATACCCAGCTGAAGTAAACCAGTGCGCGGAGACAGGGGCGTCCCAGTGGTCGGCTCCTTGTGTCAGTCGCAGCTCGAGAGCAGCTTAGTTCTCCAGCCCCGGAGTGAAGGGCGGGGGTGCCCTGTGGCTGCTCTGGTTTGCCCCCTTGGCGGTGAGGCCTCCGTTCCTGGGCTGCAAAGGGCCAGAGCCTGGGCCGCCCGCGCCACCCAGCAGACGTGCGTGTCTCAACAGCCTGGAGACTGGACATCGGGGCCCCAGGCGTCTCCCAGCCCACCCGTCTCAGCTCTCATCTTCTCGAGGCCTTCTCCCCGAGTTGTGTCTGTGTCCAAATTTCTTCCTTTCTTTTTTTTTTTTAATTTATTTTTACAGAGAAACATTGATTTGTTGTCCCACTTCTTGATGCATTCTTGGTTGAGTCTTACATTGCCCTGACTGGGTATTGAACCCACAACCATAATGTAGGGGGACGACACTCTAAACAACTGACCTACCCGGCCATGGCTAAATGCCCCCTTTTATAAGGACACTGGCGTTGGAGGAAGGCTCTCTGCCTCCAGCCTGACCTCATCCCAGCTAATCACATCTGCAACATCCCATGTCCACTAAGGTCACGTTCTCAGGTCCCAGGGGTTAGGGTTCCCAACACGTGTATCCGGGGGTGGGAGGGTGCATGCAGTTCAACCCACAGCAGAACCCAAAAGTATCTTCCGGTTATAAAAACTGCAATAAAGTAATTTGGGAGGCCTTTTTTTAAAATATAAAGAGTAAACTGCTTCTTACTGCTCCTAAGATTGTATCTAATGTACTGTGTTCTCTGTGGAGTCCACAAACCCTCAATCTGACAGCTTCCACTCCAGGCTCCAGTTTCTCCTCCAGCTGCCCAGGAGCAGGGTGGGGGGGTGTGGGGAGCATGGGGTGGGCCGCATGCCTGGAGCCACTGCCCCTCCCAGGTTTCACAGTGGCAGGGGGTGGGGGCAGTCACTTCCTGGGCAAGCAGCTCGAGTCCGGAGTGAGAAGGGGATGACTGACCCGACAGAAGGCCTGCAGTGTTCCAACAAGAGCAGCTGCCCAGTGAGTGGCTGCCGGCCAGCTCACAGACCACTGCTCATGTCCCTGAGTGTGCACGGGAGCTCCAGGCTGGTACGTTCTTTCACAACCACTTACACCTTCCTTCTCCCAAACAAAATGTGAACACCCACCAACTCCACCTGCTGCTGCTGGTTTAGACTTCCTGCCCCAGGACCTGGCATTTTTCTGGCAGATGAGTCATGGGTACGAGTGCTCATTGTGGATTACTTGTAGTAGCAAGAAAGCCGGTACAACCTCAGTGTCCGAGACGACACTCTCAGCCATGGAAGGTGTGTGTGAGACATTCACCCAGGAAAAACATTCATGCCCTGGCCGGTGTGGCTCCATGGTGGAGTGCTGGCCAGCAAATCGAAGGGTTGCCGGTTCGATTCCCAGTCAGGGCCCAGGCCTGGGTTGCAGGCCAGGTGCCCTGGTAGGGGGCACACGAGAGGTGACCATACATTGAGGTTTCTCTGCCTTCCCATCTCAAAAAATTAATGAAATCTTAAAAAGTGTTCATGGCATGCAAAGAAAACAGGATATAAACACCAACTATATAAAATTGGGTGAACAGTGTAGCTCAGTTGGGGCATCATCCCATGCACCAAAGGATCCCGAGTTCGATTCTCGGTCAGGACACATGCCTAGGTTGTGGGTTCAGTGGGGCGCATGCAGGAGGCATAGTTCTCTAGATCAATGTTTCCCCCCCCACCTCTAAAATCAATACATCAAAAAGGAAAAGATGTTGACAGTAATAAATCTAAATTGTACAATTATGGTAGGTTTTGAGTGATGAACATGATTTATATGCAGCAATATATATTTTTTTACAATGAGAGCCTATAACTGACCCTTTTGGGGGGTGATCAGGTTTATTTCACTCTGGTTCCAGAGAGAGCGGAACTGGGTAATGGTTTGAAAGTGCGTCTCCGTTACCTACAGAGACCTAGTTGCTAACTGCTCCAGGGAGCAAAAGGCGAGAGCACCCCGGAGTCGGCGGTGCTCCTGGCTCACCTGCCTCCTTGGTTCTCGCCAGGCTCGGCTCGGTTTGGAGAGCGCAGCTCTCAGAACCTGTCTGGACTGCACAGATCAAAGCGCGTCTTCCCAAGACCGCGTGACTGGAAATGCTGGGTAATGCAGCTGTTCACAAAGCAACTTCCACTAGGAAACTGCTGGTGATCTTTGAAGAAGATCTACAGAGAATCGAATTCGGAAAGAAATCGGCCTCACGCAGCTCACGCTTCTCTTGCACAATTCCCAAAGTCAGGTGTGGATGGAGACACGTTCTGCCATCTGGCACACCTCTTTGTTACGTGGTTCATCACCTTCAGAGCTGCATTCTTACCCCATGGCCTTTGTTTTTTTAATCTTTTATTTTACTAAAATGAATTTTCAAATACTAAAAATCAAAACTCAGATTACGTAGAGTATTAAGAAGTTTTTGAGGACTTCTGGCCAAGATTAAGGCATGGGTAGACACACTGCACCTCTTTGCACAACCAAAAGAACAACAACAATTTAAAAACAAAAAACCAGAACTGACAGAAAATTGAACATGTATGGAAGTCCAACAACCAAGGAGATAAAGAAGACACACTCATCCAGACCCGCAGGAGGGGTGGAGACAGGCAACCGGGACTCACGTGGGAGGACTCACAGGGAGGACTCACGGCAAGGCAGTGGCTGGAGGACCGGTGCGGGCGAGGCGGCAGCTGCATTCACGTGCGGAGAAACCGGGAGAAACGCCTGGGAGCGGGATGGACCGCACAACCCAGGGCCCCAGCGGGGAAATAAAGCCTCAAAGCCTGTGACTGAAAACACCCGTGGGGGTTGAGGCGGCAGTGGGAGAAATTCCCAGCCTCAGGAGAGTTCGCTGGAGAGACCCACAGGCTCCTAGAACATACACAAGCCCACCCACCCGGGAATCAGCACCAGAAGGGCCCACTTTGCTGGTGGGAAGCGGGGGAAGTGACTGGAATCAGGCGCAGAGCGGAGCAAGCGCCATTGTTCCCTCTCAGACCCCTGCCCCACGCACAGCGTCACAACCCAGCGACGGGGTTGCCCCGCCCGGGTAACACCTGAGGCCCCGCCCCTCATGCATGACAGCTGCGTCAAGACAAAAAAAATGGCCCAAACGAAATAACAGATCAAAGCCCCAGAAAAAATACAACTAAGCTATGAAGAGATAGCCAACTAACGATGCACAGTTCAAAACACGGGTAATCAGCCCTGGCTGGCGTGGCTGAGTGGATTGAGTGCTGGGCCTGCGAACAAAAAAGTTGCTGGTTCGATTCCCAGTCAGGACACATGCCTGGGGTGAGGGCCAGGTCCCCCGTAGGGGACGTGGGGGGAAGGAGAAGCAACCGCACATTGCTGTTTCCCTCCCTCTCCTCTCTCTAAAAATAAAATCTTTAAAAAACTCCACCAGTAATCAGGATGCTCACAGAATTGGTTGAATTTGGTCACAAATTACATTTAAAAAATGAAGGCTACACTAAGTGAAATAACAATAGTGATGGGAGGAAACTGGGACTCAAATCAACGGTGTGGACCAGAAGGAAGAAATAAACAACCAGAAAAGAATGAAGAAACAAGAATTCAAAAAAATGAGGAAAGACTTAGGAACCTCCAGGACATCTTTAAACATTCCAACATCCGAATTATTGGGGTTCCAGAAGGAGAAGAGGAAGAGCAACAAATTCAAAACTTATTTGAACAACTAATAAAGGAGAACTTCCTCAATCTGGCAAAGGAAATAGACTTCCAGGAAGTCCAGGGAGCTCAGAGAGTCCAAAAGAAGTTGGACCCAAGGAGGAACACACCAAGGCACATCATAATTACCATAATTATGCCATAATTAGCCAAGGTAAAAATGAAGGAGAGAATCCTAGAAGCAGCAACAGAAAAGAAGACAGTTACCTACAAAGGAGTTCCCATCAGACTGTCAGCTGATTTCTCAAAAGAGACCTTATAGGCAAGAAGGGGCTGGAAAGAAGTATTCCAAGTCATGAAAGGCAAGGACCTATGTCCAAGATTGCTCTATCCAGCAAAGCTATCATTTAGAATGGAAGGGCAGATAAAGTGCTTCTCAAAGAAGGTCAAGTTAAAGGAGTTCATCATCACCAAGCCTTTATTATAAAAAATACGAACAGTAAAATGACAGCAAACTCACAATTATTAACAACCACACCTAAAACAAAAACACATACAAACTAAGCAAACAACTAGAACAGGAACAGAACCACAGAAATGGAGATCACATGGAGGGTTAGCACCAGGGGAGTGGGAGGAGGACAGAGGGGGAAAAGGTACAGAGAATAAGTAGCATAGATGGTGGGTAGAAAACAGACAGGGGGAGGTTGAGAATAGTATGGGAAAGGTAGAAGCCAAGTAACTTACATGTACAACTCTTGGACATGAACTAAAGGGGGGGAATTGGGTGGATGGGGTGTGCAGGGTGGAGGGGAATACAGGGGAGAAAATGGGACAACTCTAACAGCATAATCAACAAAATATATTTTAAAAGAGAAGTTTTCATTTTATCACATTTTCAAGTGACTGGTCCGCTGTCTGCGGGGGTGAGGGAGAAGTTGAAAAGAGGCAAAGATCAGCTTACGCACCAGTTAACGCCCAGTCAAATAAACCGGGGCCCAAGCTTTCGATGGAGGTGCCTTCGTCCCCTGTGATGACGACGGAAACACCCTTTGCGTGGGGAAACTCCAGGGTGCAGAAAAACCTGACGACGAGCGACCTTCGTTTCAGTCAGGCGGGGTCAACGAGGACACCCGGTGAGGACCAGTTAGCAGGGCGCCTCGCGTCTGCTTTCCATCGCCGGGGTCCCAGGGGTCTGGAGAGCCCCCTCCTGTCTGTGGAAGGAGACGTGGTACAGGTGTCACAGGTGTAGTGTAATGCAGACACTGGCCAGGAGCCTGGTCCTTCCGAACGTAGAACAGTGGTTTCTGACGTCACGTGGGTCATGGACTCTCGTCCCACTCAGAATGCCCACAACAGGAACACGAGTTTGGGGGTTTGCCAAATGAATCCCCTGAAACCCGTGGCACAGGCCCTGACCTAACATCACCAACAAGCACAGGTTTAGCCAACCAGACCCACATTTATTTAGGCCTTTTCATGTCAAAGGCATTGACGTTTTTCTGAGCGGACTTAGATTCCTGGCGGCTCCTCTCTGCTGCTTTGAAGAATGGCTGCAGGAGCATCAGAAAGTGAGGTCTTGATACGCACCGAACCATGCAGTTTGATGCCCAGTATTTAGTGTGGTTTGGCCAGATTTAAAACCCGGCTGGAGTCGAGGTGATGACGGAAGGAACTCAGTCCCGCACCGCCATCCCACGCCTGGGGGTGTGCCCACTGGGGGTCTTGCAGAACCGGGCCCACTGCCCCTGCCCTCGGGCACTGGCCTTTCCCCAGCGAGCCCTCAGAGGGATGGCCCAGTGTCCAGGAGGCCTAGAAGGGACCGCAGGGCAGGTGGGCCCGTCTGATGCAGCCTCCGCGAGGAGGACAGGTGCGTCTTCACCCACGGCAGCGTTTGAGAGCCCTCCCCAGTGTGCTCCGGATGGAGACCTTTACGTCTTGGACCGTGGACTGGCTCTGGTTTAGCAGGCAAGTGTGGGCGATTTCCCAGGTGGCTTAGGGTGACAGTTGTCAAAGAAGTGGGAAAACAAAGGCATGTGATTATTAAAATAGGCTCATATAATCAGAACATGATGTCAGTGAAACACACATATGTGTCTTAACGAAGTCGTGCCTCTCCCCATGCGTCACATGGACATAAGGCCAGTCCAGGACCCGAAGGTAAGCGTTTGTGGGCATCTCACGAGGCCGTGCAAAATTCCACCAGAAGGGCGGGGCCCTGCAGCCTCCGGGAGTAGGCTGAGGGCTCAAGGCAGCATGTGCTCCAGTGGTCCCACGAGTATATTGTCTACAACAGGAACCGCTGGTTACAATCCCCAGTGTGTAAATCACTGTGGCTTGTGTTTCGCCTGAAGGTTAACTGGGGGAGGAGTGGGAGTAAACAGGTACTTGAATGAAATCCAACTTTTATATAATAAAGTTTTTCATTTGAAACGTGCACTTCTAAAGGAATATGATAAACAGTGTTAAATTGGTGTATTAATTTTTTTTACTTACTGATTTTGAGGGGGGAGAGAGAGAGAGAGAAACAACATCAACTTGCTGTTCCACTCACTGGTGCACTCAGCGGTTGTTTCCTGTCTGCACCCCGACCGGGGATCGAACCCGACACCTTGGCTTACCGGGACGACGCTCTAACCCACTGAGAGGCCGGGCCAGGGCTCGGCTGGTACATTTTGAAAGGAGCATTTGTGAGAGCCTCGTTACTCTGAAGGTTTCCAGGTACGAAGGGAGGGACCCCCGCAGTGAGCAAAGGTGGGACTGCGTTTTCAAGACGAAAGTGATCGCAGGCTCTGCAGGAACCCGTAGGAGAACGTGGTCCCTAGCCACGGCCTCACCGTCTGCTCCTCGGCGGCTTCCGTGACCCCGGCTTGCACCATCAGCTCGTCCACGTTCCTCTGCAGGTCCTGGAGGCGCCTCCCCATCTCCTCCAGTGCCGTGTCAAGGAGCACAGAGCCTGTGGCTGGAAAGCCCTGCTTCAGCCTGCACCTGCTCGCCCCTGGTCTGACAAACGCCCTCCCCAGCTGCCACCTGTAAGACCCCCGGGGTCAGGGCAGGGGCTTCCTGGAGGTCTGTGGGAGCTGTATCTCAGCTCAGCTCTGAAAGCTCGGCTCCCCAGGTGTGGGCGCAGGTGCAGGGATGGGAGGTAGTCTGGCATGTTTCACTGTCTTAACCAAACTCTGATGAGGATGCAGATATTATGGAAATTAACTCAGTTTGTCATGTTTCAGACTTTTTTCCCTGTGGGAACCCACCTACAGAATCAGAAATTGCCCGTTCTACGTGCAAATGCTTTGCACAAAGTGTTTCAGGAGCCAATGTGATTGTGAGAAGGGAGCTCACGCTGGGCACACCTGACAACCTAACAGTCGCCTTGTCTGGATCTGCTCAGCCGGCAACACTCCTTCTCTCCTGTGTCTGAATTCACGTCTCAGCAAAACGGGGAGCTGCTCGAGTCACAGAACACGGCAGGCGGGGGAGCCCGGTGGAGCCCCCGTGCCGGAGGTGGTCTGAGTTCTGTCTGCGGGTTTCCGAGTGCGTGGCGCACCTGCAGGAGGTTCCCGGGCAGACCGCAGGTCTGTTCAAGGCGTGGCGGGAAGGCGTGGCTGCGGAGGCCTGTGTGGTGTGCGTGCACATTTCATTGCCGCACGAAAAGGCCTTGTGCCGCCAGTCAAGCCGGAAACAATCAGCTGTGGCTGGTAGTGAGGGCACCAGGATGCCACTTACAGGCACAGACGGAAACAGGGGATCCCGGGTCAAACATTCTCCACTGAAAAGCTATTCCACGGTAATCTGTCAGTTCAAAGCACCGCGGTTTTTGCTATAACACAGAAAAGGATATTTCTGAGATTTAATGTTGCAGTCAGAGCTTGAAAATGTTCCTCAAGTCCCTGAAGTAGACTTTTCTGCCTGAAAAAAAAAACAAAAAACAAAAAACAAAAAAACGAACCATAAGACAGTGAACATAATCCTCACTCCTGACGCTGGCATTTCAGGCGTGGTGGAACAGAACCGTGTGCGCAGTCGATTTTTGACAAGGAAAGTCTTTTCCACAAGTGGGGGGGGGGACGATAACTAAGCTGGTGGCCCCTCCACCGCACACAGAGACCAGCCCAAGGGGACTCCGCCCCTAAGCCTGGGCGCCCGAGGGCAGCAGGGAGCCCCTGGGTCGCCGTGGGCCCAGAGCCTGGCCCTGGGGTCCCAGCCACCAAGCTGGGCCTCGGCCGCTGGCCGCGCCCCAGAAGGAAGTGTGCCCGCTGCCGCGGAGGCAGACCGGCCCTGTGCGCGGGCTGCTTCGTGCTTCACAGACGCGGCTCCCTCCCCGCAGAAGCGTTACCCGCCACAGACTGGCCGCTGGCCGCCCAGAACCCGCCTCCTCGCGGTGTGAAGACCACCGCCCACGGCCAGCCGCGGTGTCCGGTACCCAGCAGGTCTCCTTCCTCCGGACCACGCAGGTGGAAGAACCTACAACACCGACAGTGGTGCTTCCTGGGCGGTCCTTGTCTAGCTTCGCCTGCCGGAGGGTGGGCGGGGGTGCAGCAGGGGGGGTCCGCAGGTCCCACCCCGCTCCAGGGTGGGCGGGAGAGCGAAGAGGGAGGGGCGGGGCCCCCACTCACCGCGCCCTGCAGCGCGCGCCCAAGGTCTTCGGGTTCCTGTGCATCCATGTGGACCCGGGGCGTCAGGGGGCGGGCCTGGCGGACCCGGTGGGGCCAGGTGGCTCTGGCGCGTCAGGGCCGCGGTGCCCGCTTCTGGTCCCGCTGCCGCCGCCGCCGCCGGCCGTCTAGGGAACACCTGAGAGCCTGGCTGGGCTGCAGCACCTCCTAACCCGGACGCCCCCGCGAATTCCTGGGCGGGGCGCGCCTCCCAACCCGGAGACGCTGAAGCTGCCCAGCAGGTCCTGGGAGAAGGCCTGGAAGGTGAGGGCCAGGCAGGGGGCGGCTTCATCCTGAAGGTCACTGTCCCGCGAGGGGGCGGGTGCGGGGCGGGGAGCGGCAACTTGTCTGCGGGGACAAGACCTTCCGTCTGGCCTGCTTCTCCCATCAGGCCGGAGCCGAAAGAGGTAGCCCTAGACCAAGCCGATCTCCTCCTCCCGCGCCTCCGCCTCGTTATTATTGCTGCTATTTAAAATATATGCAACACGAAACCCATCATGTTGGCCGTTCCTCAGGGCGCAGCTCAGTGGCCCTGGGCACACTCACAGGGCCGTGCAGCTGTGACCGCCCTCGACCCACAGAATTCTTCCATCTCTCGAACTAAGCCTCTGCCCCGTGGCACGCTCGCCGCCCCCGCCCCCGCCCCCGGGCCCTGCCGCCTACTCTGTGTCTGTGTCCCATCCCTTCACACCGGGCTGTCACTTCTCCCACGGGGTGGGGGGGGCCCTGGGGCCCTGGGGGCCTGGCCCTGCCATCACCCGTGCAGCAGGCTGTGCTCTCCGAGTGCCTGCCAACTCTGCGGCCAACTTGACAGCGAAGACTCTTGCCCTGACCTGTGTGGCTCAGTGGGCTGGGCGTCGTTCCGGACACCGGAAGGCTAAGGCTGCTGGTTTGATCCCTGGGCAGGGCGCACGCCTGGGTTTCAGGCCAGGTCCCTGGTGGGGGTGGGGGTGGGGGTGGGTGCGAGAGAGGCAGCCACACACTGATGATTCTCTCCCTCGTTCTCCCTCCCTCCCCTCTCTAAAAATATTTTAAGAAATAAAATCAAGAATTCTATGTTCTGCGACCCATGCCTGGCACACGGGCAACTCGTGCACCTGGGCTCTGAGGTCACCGGAGATCTGGACGGAAGCCCCCCGCCCACGCCCCTCCTTCTGGTGCCCTTTCAGCCCGAACGGGTGGCCGCTCCCGGGGCCCTTCGAGGGTGGCGACCTGTTTCGTGACTCTTCACCCTTGAAGCTCCGTGGGGCAGCGCCGCGTCAGCCTGAGTCACCCCCGTGTCCCAGGGGCCCAGCTGGGCCACAGCACTCGGACGCCGGGGCTGCCGGATGTTTGTGAAACGCGGCCGCCCGTGCGGAGCCGCCCGAATCGTTAGTCATCAGCAGGATGCGGATCAGAGCCACCCTGAGGTCCCAGGTCGCACCCACGACGGCCACAGTCGGACCCAGACAGTGACAAGTGCTGACGGGAGGTGGCCCGTCTGGGGCCTCGCAGCTGCCGTGGAGTCGGGAAACGGCGCGGCCAGTGTGGGAATAGCCCGCCGGTCCAGGAAACCTCGATCCCCCTTTCTGTATCGGCCCCGGAGAAACGACCACCTCCCTCTGCACGGAAAGGCGCACACGAGCGTCCACAGCAGCGCTCCTAACAACCCCCAGGGGGGAGGAGGCAGCCCAGAGTCCAGCAGGGAACGGGCAGAGCCCGGCCGGCCCCTGCGGCGGGGCATCACTCAGCCGCAAAGGGAAGCTCTGGCAGTCGCCTGGACGCGGGGGGGCCTTGAAGACATTCTGCCCCGTGAAATAACGCGGTTGGTACTGGATGATTCCGGCAGCCAGCTCCGTGCCCCCGGGGCCACCTCTCACCGCCAGGCCTTCCCTCTTGGGGTGCCTCGGGCCTGCCGTGAAGGACCTCGAGCGTCAAACTCACGACGAAAGGAAGCAGACGATGGTGCCGGGCAGGGGCAGTGGGTGTTTGGTGGACGCAGAGAGTGACCGGTGGGAAGGAACGGTGTGGAGAGGACTGTGGTGACGCCGCACGCCCCTGTGGGTGTGCTCAGTGCTACTGCGAGGTGCCCTTCAGCATGGCCGAGGTGGTCGTCAGTCTGACCTTATGCACACTTTCCTACAATATGTTTTCAAAGTGCATCGCCCCTTTGAGCTCTAGGCTCAGAATCCCAGGACCCCTGATTCCCTCCCCTCCCCCTCGAGGACCGTCTCCACTCGCCCTGGCGGACCCAGAGCAGCAGGTGGCTGTGGGCTGGCCCCCAGTTGGCCCACATGTACCAGGGACACAGGACCAGCGCCGCGAACCAGATGCTCCGGTGCGGGAGGCAGTCTGAATCCTTCCTCAACATCGGGAACAGAGAGGGTGGAACATTCTAGAGGCTTTACAGCAGGGCCCAGGGAGGGCGGCTGTGGGGGTGGGCGCAGTAGTGGCTCAGTAGGAACACCCCCCGTTTCTCTCCGGCCCTGTCCGGCTTCCTTCTCCGACTGGTGTTTGCGTTTCCCTACTCACGCCCGAGCTGCGTTCCAGGTCGCTTCCCGTGGACACTCTGGGTTGCGACAACCCAGAGACTGCGAGGGCTGCCTCTGAGGAGTGAGAGCCCCCCGCCCCCCCAAGCCCTCCGCATCCCACCGGGCCCGTTGGGGAGTGGCTCTAACTCAGGCTGTAACTGCCATTTCCCACAAAACCTACCAGGTAGGAGCAGGCAGCCAGCTCTGCGCCCCCGGGGCCACCTCTCACCACCAGGCCTTCCCTTTTGGGGTGCTTCGGGTCTGCGGTGGGTGGTCGAGAGGAGCACTGAGGGGCACGCAGGGCTGGCTGGCCTCACACGGGGTCGCCCTGCTCCCCGCCCACCCCGGGGCCGCCACTCCCGGCCCGGCCACTGCGTCCTGAGCCTGGGGGCTCGCCGCGGTGGGACGCCCTCCCGCGTCCCTGTTTCCTTCCGCTGCACAGGGCATCCTGTCGAGGCGCCTCGCAGAGCTGCGAGGCTGCGCTGCGGCGCGACAGCGTCTCTGGGGCGCGTGCCCTAGGCCTGGGGTCCGGCCGCGGGCCGCGGGCTTTGTCCGCGAGGGGCCGCCCGCCCCACCCGGTTCAACTCCCGAACTTCTGAGTCGTCCCGGACTCCGCGGCCCGACTCCGCCAGAGGATGGCCGCGTGGGAGGACCCCTGGAGTAAGCCGGGGCCGCTGCCTGGGTCCCCGCGCGGGGTGGCGCTCGCGCTCACACCCGCCCGGGACCGCGAGAGGGGTCCCCACGCCACGCGCTGACCGTGGGGCGGCGACAGGATCGCGTCCTCCGTTCCCGGAGGCGGAGCGACGAGTCTGCCCTGCGCCCGCCCGGGGGCACGCGGAGACGGCCCACGCGCGCACCTGGCCCCGAAGGGGCGGCCCCGCGGGGCAGGGGCCGCTCACGCGGGCGGGGCGCGCGGCGGGGCCGGGCCCGCCCTCCACCTCCCGCCGGGGCGCGCGCTCTAGGACCCGCCGGCGCCCGGCGCGCGCGGTGGGCGGGGCCGGGCATTGTGACGTCACGGCGAGGCGGGGCCCGGGCTCGGCCGGGCAGACTGACGGACGCGGGCCGGACGGGCGGAGCCCACGCGGCCGGTGAGGGCACGGAGGGGTCCGCGGGGCGCGTGGGCGCGGGGTGGGGGGCGGGCGCCGTGGTCGGGCCCCAGGACCCAGCCCCCGCCGCCCGGGCCGCGCGTCCGCGCCTCGTCCCCCCGCGATGCCTGCGCGGGCGCCCCGGGCGCCCTGACCGCGCGTGTCCCCGGAGGGGGTCGCGCCCCAGCCCTGAGCCCCCCGCCCCCCCCCGCCCGCCCGCCCGCCCGGGGCCGGGGCCGGGACCCAGCGCTTCCCTCTTCCCTCCCGCCAGGCTCCGGCGGCGGCCATGCGGGGGTGACAGCGCGCGCCCCGCGAGCCCGTGGGGACTCCGCCAGGCGGCCGCCAGCCCGCCGGCCGGCGGCGCAGGTGCGGGCGATGGACGCCCCGGGCTCGGACTGGCTCTTGGTGCCGCTGCAGCAGCTGGTCTCCTGGGCGGCGGCGGGGGCCATGGTCTTCGGCGGGGTGGTGCCCTACATCCCGCAGTACCGGGACATCCGGAGGACCCAGAACGCCGAGGGCTTCTCCACCTACGTGTGCCTGGTGCTCCTGGTGGCCAACATCCTCCGGATCCTCTTCTGGCAAGTGCGGGCCCTCTCCCCGTGGGGGCGCGCCTCCTCCGGGGGGGTTCCGGGGAGGCCCGAGGGTGCCGGTGTCTGCGCCCCGCGAGGAGGAGCCGGGGCAGCGGGCAGCTGCTCTCCCAGGGCAGGCTGGGGGCCTGGAGGGGGCCCTTCGCTCGCGGGCTCAGTCCCAGCCTCCTCCGTGTCCCCCGGGCGCTTGCGGCAGGTGCGCGTCCTGGTCTCAGCCCAGAGGACCGGCGGGGGGTGGGGGGTGGGGGAGGGCGAACAGCCGAGTGGTTGGCCCGAGTGGCAACCAGCAGTGACCAGCAGGAAGGACGCTTTGCCGGCCAGCGGACCCCTCAGGAGGGGGCGTCTGAGCCCGCCCGGGCGCAGTGGGGGGCACCCCCGCGGCCTCTCGGTGGGGCGCGGGGTTCTGTTTATTTCTGAGTAGGAAGTCAACTTGCTGGAAAACGCTTAGACTCTCTTCTCGCTCCTCCCAGCCCGACTTCCTCTTTTTATCGTTTGCATTCCGGTAAGGGACTTGACATTAATTCTAACAGTTGCAGAAGCCAGACCAAACCCGGCGGGCGAGGGCTCGGAGGAAATGAGAGGAGGTTTCGTAGCCTCGCTCTGAGGCCCCGAGTCCGGACTTTCCTTCCATTCGTCCGGGGCGCGCGGGCCCCTCCGCCCGCGGGAGGGTTGCTGGGGGAGGCCTGGCGCTGTTGGCACAGCCATGCTCTTTGGCTCATTGATTTTAAGTGGATCTTATCGAGGCGTGGTTTCCATGAAGTACAAGTGCCCATTCTGCGAGTACAGTTCGGTGAGTTTCGACGAACTCCCTCCACCCCCCAGAGTCACCGCCACGGTCAAGACGGGGGTTTCCCAGCCCCGACGCTCCTGCGCTCTGCTCCTCCGTCCCGCCCAGGCCCGGGCTCGCCCCGGCCTCTGTCCCTGGGTGTCCGTTTTGCCCCTGTCGGGGGTTTTCAAGAGGCCAGCTGGCGCGTCAGGCACATCTGGAGTCTGTCCCATGGCGAGCCCACTTCTCAGCGGTGGGCTGGCGGGGGCTAATTGCTGTTTAGCACAACTTGAGAACCAGCATTTTGAAGATTCCTCCTTTACCTTTGGCTGAGGGGCCTCGGAGGCGGAACACCTTGCTTTCCTTTCACAAACTGGCCTTGAGTCTGAGGCTGAACAGAAGCAGGCTGAAAAGAAATGGACACTGGTGTTGACCCAGAGCCCACTGGACAAGGTGCCGGAGCCCCCAGCCAGGCACTGTGTCGGCGGGGCGGGGGGCAGCACAGCGAGCCCTGTATTGTGGGGCGGGTTTTCTCCAGCAGTGGGAGGGAACTGCCAGAGTTGGGTCACCCTGTGGGAAAGTAGCTCCATTTAGAAGTCTTTCCCTCAGTGTGCTAGTCATTCAAAAGTGCAGAGAGAAAACAGCATATCTAATCTACATCTCAGGATCTCGCGTGGAGGAGTCAGAAATTGAACCAGCTTCTCGAAGGCCGTCTCCTTTAACCGGCCTCTGGTGCCTTTGGGCCTGTGTCCTCTCTCCACCGCAGGGCCTGGGCCTTGGAGAGGGACTTGAGCTCCCTCCCGAACGCCGCACAGGGCGGCCTCTGTGGGATTCCAGCCTTGGTCCACTGGCGAGCCTGTCTCTGCACGTCCGATTGGCCCTTCCCCACGGAGCCAGCACCCGAGCTGTCCTGGGTCACTTCAGGGGTCCTGTGGCCCCCGTGCGCGCGCACAGGGCTGCCT